TATTTAAAAGAAAATCTCCATCTTTACTTCTTTGTGCCTTGTATTGGCTTTCTAGTAATTTCATAATATAGCTTCTATATTTTTTTTTTCTTTTTGGTTTATTGTATTCTTTCTCATAGACATTAAAATAATTTTGTTTCAGAGTTATCATTAACTCCACCCCAAGTAGTGTTCCATTTCTGTTGTAATAATCATTAGTGATGATATTTCTCAGGGAAGAGTTTATATCAAGGTAAATATATACCTTTAGGAAAAAAAGAAACTTGTTTTCCTGTCAGGAAAAATAACCATTAAGGAAAGGAAACAAGTGATTGTTACATTGTCTTTTCCTTCCCTCTGAATTCACTTATTGCGATGAACATGTAGTGCACTGACTGTGCTGACTGTAGTGGTTACAGGCGATTACTGTCCTGCTTGCTCCAGACAGAAGTTTCTTCCTGAAAATACGCTGCTAGCAAGTAGGCCCTTCATTTAGATGTTGGAGGACCTACAACAGTGTTTTTTATTTTAAAATAAAATAAAATTGTTTTCTCTTGGGTAATTTGTATAACCCAACACTGAGGAGGGAGGACTTTTTTTTTTTTTAAGGAAACATTTGTCTTTGTAAAATCGTACCTGTCTTGGCTGCAACATTATCAGAATATTACCCTTGTCATCAAGAATTCATGGCTATTTATTACAAATGTAGTTTTGTTTTCCAGAGTTCTTATCAGTTGAGAACAGACAGTTACAACTGGAAGAATCAGATATTGTTATTGGAAAATTTGGCTCAAATTTGTTTTGATTTTTATGTGTGAAGCATTAGAGACAGAGGGAGGACCTAGAACAGTGAATAAAAAGGTTTCCTCATCTTAAAAGAGCTGCAGCTAGTGGGAGAGACTGAAAGGGACAAAACTTGAGGTTGTTGAGCACTGGTGTGTGCCAGGATTGGTAGTTGCTTTATATAGTTTGTTTGCTCCTCAAAGCAAGCTCACTGTTTCATTTTATAATTGAGGGAATTCGAGCCCACGTAGATGTTAAATGACTTAGTCAAAAATACAGCTATTAGGTTGAAATGCCGCCTTATTTCTGTCCTGCTGCACACCCCCAGGATTTTCTGCTGTGCCGTGCGGTGGACAGGCTCGTAGACTAGTAGTCGATGAGACTGATCAGGCACTGTGTGGCGTGTGAGCCTCGCCTCTGATTCCCACTCGAGCTTTAAGAAGACCTGTACCTGAGTGACAGTTCTTTCTAGGTGGGTGATGGTGGCCAGTCACTGACACTCTGAGCCTGATTTCTTTCTCGTTTATCCATCCATTTGTTTCTTCTGGAACTCTCTTTGTACCTGTTGTAAAGAAAAGAAAACACTTAGTATCAAACTCCCTTTATACAATGACGTGACTGTTGAAGAAGAGGCAGCAGAGCATGGTGATTCAAAAGTCCAGTTTCTGGAGCCTGGCTGTTGGCAAGCTGTGTGCTTGTAGCTGATGCACTTAACCTATTTGGACAGCCCCCACCCCTACAGTGGGGATGATAATAGTACCTAACTCTTAGTTTGGGGAATTAAATACTGAACTCTTAGTATCTGGTGTGTGGTAGCTCTTAGTATATGTTAGTTGTTAATAATTATTGTTTGTTAGTTTGGTCATTACACACCCAATTTTTAGGTTCAGGAACTTGATTTTGTCAGTGTTTTCACGTTTGATAAAATTCGTGAACTTATTCAGACCAGCCAAACATAACGACAGGCTGAATAATTGAACAGAATGCTAATCTATTAATTTATTAAGGGAATATTCTAGTAACAACTATACTCAGGTATTCCTCGGTGATGTTAAAGTAATGGGGCAAACTGAATTAATAGTTATTTATTAACACTAATTTAGTGCAAATGAAATCAAACCAAAGATAGTGTTTATAGGCTACTTTATGTAGGCTTGATAGAACCTGGAGGATTGTTTCTTTAAAAACATCAACAGAAATAGTATCACTTCTCTGTAGGCAGGAGTACTGTTGCTTGATGGAGATGCTTTACCTTTGGATTTCCTTTTGTTTTTTCAATTTATCTCAACATTTTATGTAAGATCAGTAGCTGAACCACATTAATAATGGGGATTTTATATTTGCAGTTTCCTATAAAGGGTAGTAATCTATATGTAAGAGATTTTCATGAGGATGATTAAGGATGTTAGTCTCGTCCTTTCCGTGCTTGCCTTCATCAGTTCAGTCTTGATTCTTTCCTTCATGTTCTTGCCAAATTGAGCATTTCTGCCGAGCCACTGATGTGTCCATTTCTTTGATATCTGGTAGTTTGGAATTATTTGTTGACAGTTCCCAGAGAAACTGATGCTTTCATGTCTTTTGGGATCTCTAAGTACATCTAGCTGTTTCATTCTTATCACAAATAATATAAAACTACTCTTAGCAAAATGAGTGAGTACTGTGGAGGTTAATTTGCTGTTTTGGTTTAACTTATTCTATAAGGGTGAGCCTTTGGCAGAGCCAGGGTAGTTTTGCTCATTAATATTTGAGACTGTTAGCAGTAATATAAAGATGATTTCAGGGTGGTAGTGGTGAACGTATCAGAATCCTGGAATAAAGGTATGACTCCGATAATAAAAACTTAAGTTTATGTAACTAAATCATACGGTAATTTTTGTCTTCTAAAGTGTTGTCTTAGGACCCTTGGAGGAGGTGGTGGATAGGGAGGGTAAAACCTGAAGTGGAGGTACTTGAATGATTCCAGACGGATGGGTGAGTGGAAGGGGGAGACATGGGGTGGAGGAGAGAGAGCTGGGGAAATAGGGCATGGAAAGTGTTCAGCACAGCGCTTGGCACAGAGTCGGCACTTAGTGAGCATCACCTGTTACTAATATTAACTAATACTTATTCAGATTTATGGTTTAGGAGCATCTTTCACATGCATCGTTACTTATAACGCTTTTAGGATTGCTAGACTAACATAGAGATGGAGACATTTAGAAAGGATATCAATTTAACTTTCTTTGCTATTTGACCCATGCGGGACAAAGAGGCAGTTTATATAATTTTGAGAGACCAGAGCAGGACTCCTACTAATACAGCTCCCATTTTGCTAACTCATAAGCTTTCTCAGATCTCACCCCCATAACCACGGCCCCACTTCAACCCAGAATCTGTGGGTCAGTGGTGTTTTTCTAACATACATGCTCACTCATCCTGTATTTTTCTCTGGGGCAGTGGGGAATAGGAAGGGCCTGCTGCGTAGTGGTCGGAAAGAGTCTGGGCAAGCATAGTAGAGTTTTGGGGCTAGAACTGTGCCTTATTGTCTTGTTTTCTGGTTTAATTTTCACGTGGTTTATACAGTTAGCCCCATTCTGATATCCTATTTTTCCCTACTTTTTTTCAGATACACACTATTAGGTCATAATTATCAGTGAAGAGTGGGCTAGTGGATTGGGGGAAGGCAGAGAAAAGCTTAACTGGGATGGGCTTTGAGCAGTGTGCAAAGATTTGGCATCTGAGAGAATAGAAAGCCGTCACAAAGAGTAAAGCAAAGAAGTGGCATGATCTGACTTAGTGTTAACAAGATTTTGGATGGATTCTGGGTATATTTTGAAGGTGGAACTGCCATCTTCCACATCCATTAGGTGTGGAGGAAGAGAGAAAGAGAAGAATCGAGGATGACTCCAGTTGAGAAACTGAATCTTTGATAGTGCTAGAGGCGGGTGACCTAGGAGTTAGAAAGCTTCCTTGGAATTTTGGGAGCTGTGCTTCTTTCTGTGTTCAATGACGTAATGGGGTGCACAGGAACTCTGGACCTCACCCCATCACATCTCCAGATAAAGTGTAACCCAGCTAACAAAAAACAAATTCTCTCAGATACCGTGGTTCTCAACCTGTGGGATACAAACCGCTGAGTCTTATGGTTACAGCAGGGTACTGAAAACTCACGTGAGTTTTAAACTGTATTTTAATTGATTCAAAAGAAAAAAAAAAAGGAAATAATGGGAAAGAGCATCTCACAGTTGCATGGGCTTCAGCCTGCCTTAAAGTAGTATTCCTTTGGTTGGAATTCCATTGTATTTTTCTTTAGAAATAGGTTTTGAGAAAAATCTAAATTGTATTCATTGATTTTGGGCAAGTAGTTCATATTGAAGATTAGTTACAATTATATTCTGCAAAAGTCAAGTGTTTCTGTTTATCACATTGATGGTAGGGTTGGGGCTAACATATCTCTCTTGCTTTTAGCATAGTCTCTTCATTTGGGTTTTGTAACCTCAGGACTGAACGGAGCCTCAGGGACAGAGAGGCATGGACTTGGGATTTCAGTGGATCTGGGTTTTAATTGTGCATTTGCCATATAACTGCCTTAGCAAGAAACTCAAACTTTGCGAGTTTTAATGACCAAATCTTGAAAATAGTGTTTAATAATAGTATATACTTAACTGGGTTGTTGTGAAGACGTAAAAATAATGCATGTCAAGGTGTGCCTGGCACTTGCTGAGGACTCAATAAATGTTAGTTGTTGTTAACATCAGCAGCTCTGCAGCCAATATCGGATACCTGAGACAAGTAAGGTGAAGAGAAATTGTAAATAACTTGTCCTGGGGCCGGCCCCGTGGCATAGCGGTTAAGTGTGCGCGCTCTGCTGCTGGCTGCCCGGGTTTGGATCCTGGGCACGCACCGATGCACCGCTTGTCAGGCCATGCTGTGGTGGCGTCCCATATAAAGTGGAGGAAGATGGGCACAGATGTTAGCTCAGGGCCAGTCTTCCTCAGCAAAAAGAGGAGGATTGGCATGGATGTAAGCTCAGGGCTGATCTTCCTCACAAAAAAATAAATAAATAAATAAAGAACTTGTTCTAAGTCACATAATTAAATTTGAAGTCTGAAATCCCATGTCTCTTAGTTTCTGTCTCAGACATTTATGGTAATGAAACATTTTTAATAAGTGGTGAGTAGACTTTTTCGTTTATTGTTACAAAAAGTGAATCTTTTTAGAATGTTGTTTTTCTAAAAATGTATCATTTTGTTTTCTTTTAGGATTTGGAGTTCCATGGAGTGATGAGATTTTATTTTCAAGATAAAGCTGCTGGAAACTTTGCAACAAAATGTATTCGGGTCTCTAGTACTGCCACCACTCAAGATGTAATCGAAACACTAGCAGAGAAATTCCGCCCTGATATGCGAATGTTGTCATCTCCCAAGTATTCGCTCTATGAAGTGCATGTCAGTGGAGGTCAGTGTATACAGACAGGGTTTGCTAGAGGTGTGACCTCATCTTGTAAGTAGGTAGCTTCCCTAACAGTCACTTGTCCAGCGGGCATTTTAATCACAGCACTGCCTTACTATTCATTTCCCCTTTCTTTTTCTGTAGGGGCTGGGGGAGCTGTTGACAAGTTAGCAAAACTTTTGTGTGTCTAGGAAATGTTCTTGGAAGTTCCTAGCACATACATTTGTTGGAAGTTAGAATAAATATATTAATTTTACATATGATTATTTCTCCAAAGCATGACATTTTGTAATTAAAATTATCCAACGGATCTGGGTGTCGCATACATTGATGATATAATGTTACTTGCTTTTGGAGAAATATTTCATGTAACTCTTATGTATAGATTATAATACTACAATTAATTGTAACCCGGTTAAATATTATATGAGTATGAATCATAAATCTTACTGTAATATTTTTGTAATGTAAAACATTATATTTTCATTATTCTTTGGAAATAGGACATCTTGAAGAAACTTATGTAGTTAGTAATTTCTTCTTGTTTTAACATTTGAAATTTCTGAAAATAATCCTATGTATCTATATCAAATGGCAGTTTAAATTGGACTCGTTAGCAATGTAGAAATTTATAAAATTTTTTATGAGTGCTTTGGAAATGTTGAGTCACCTGTAAAAAAAAAAAATACAAATTCCAATTACTACAGCAAATAAAGGATTATGTATAGCACAGACCCAGTTGAATACGTGTTAATTCCATCCACAAATCCTTTTTGAACATAATTTATTTTTCTTGATTTCAAAAATACAGCTTTATTTGTACGTTTGAAATTGGGATAAAGTTTTTGTAATGTGTGGAATTCTGGTATGACCAAACGCTTTTTTCCCCAGTAGTATATAAAATAGGCCATATTTGTTTATTACCCTTTTAAGGTTATGAGGGTATCGCCTACATAAAAATACCCAAACTGAATTTGACAAGAGAGGACAGCCTCAGTTTTGAAATGGTTCTTCTGAGGTTGAGTTTTTTTCTTTACCTCAGAATCTTTGTAAATAGGTTACAAAGAGGAAGAAAATCTCTTTCAGTGCCAGCCCTTTTTCTCTCTACACTTTTTGGTCATTTGAATACCACCAAGTGAAATCTTTGGAATAATCTGTAATATTGGAATTTGAGATCTAAAAGTAGAGTAATTTTGATTTTTTAAAAGAACCTTTAAATTTTCTTTAGTAGATTTGTTTTTAATTAAAAAGTAAAATATATATATTACTTGTAAGGGGATTAAAAACACAGTAAGGTTCGCTTCCCTTCCCACCCTCCCTCCGAGGTGAGGAGCTAGGACAGTCTGGCTGTATCCTTGCACACCTTCATGCTCAGAGCAGTGGTTCCACCTGTGCCTCAGATGTGAGGAAAGCCCTGGTGTGCAGGTCACAGAGCCCTTAGTGTGTCAGTGATTTTTTTAATGGCACCCCTAGGCCAAAGGAAGTACCTAGCAGTTCTTTTTATTGAGTAGTTAGATTCAGACAAGTTAGTATTTATGTTCTAACAACTTGAATGTTTGAAAAAATAGTATGATAAAATGAAAGGAAAACTAAAATTTTCATTGCATTCTTAATCACAGTTACTCCCTCGTTGGGTGTGTGTGCCTCTTGGGCCATGCCCAGCTCCCAGACTGGAGGCAGCACCCTCATTTCCTATCCACATTGATTTTTGGGCAGTGGCTGTTGTTTTTTACAGCGCCGTGGAAAACCCAGTTGACATTGATGTGACAGCAGCAGAAGGGATGACCACGCACAGTCTCGTGCAGACTAGGGCCTGCCCGGAGCTAGCAGTTCATGCAGCGTCTGGCAGATGCAACTTGTTTCCTTTGAAAATTTAAAATGCTCCACAGTGAGCACATTGGGCACCTCAGCACATGTTTATGAACCACACAGTTCTAGCGGGCTGCATTCCGGACCCCGACCCCTGCTTCCACCACCAGGGAAACTCCACTCTTAACCTTTTTGTATGTTAGGATTCCTTTTATGAAACCAATTGGAAAAAGAAAAAGGATTCTGCCATTTTAAAAAAAAAGTATGAGAACGACTGAGGCAGAAGAAATGTTAAAGTACGAAGCTGTGGTAGGAACCTGGCTATCTTTACATTCAGTAAGTAGGCACGGCTGCTTTAGGATAGCGCGCCCTTGGTTTTGTTTTACTTTTTTGTACATTTGAAATTTGATTTAGACTTAATTGTTTTTAATACTAGTTCTCTAAAAAATATGCTATGAAAGATTTTACTCTTACAAATTTTGCAACAAAAACAACTTGGTAATTTTGGTTTGTAGCAGGAATTTCAGACTTGATCCAATCTCTAATTTATTGCTCTGATTTTCATTTCTCATATTTTCAGTTGATAAAATAATTTAGAATTTATTATTCTTGTATTCTGATAATATTACTGTTTATATATGTTTTTATTATAAGCCTCTATAAGTCTATTTATCTTTTAAATTTGTCCTGTTAACTCTTGCGTCCTTTACCACCCTAATTCTTCAGCTGCCTCCTGTCTTAGCTACCCTCATTGTGGCACATCCTGTATACAGTTACCTGATAATCTTTGCCAACCATAGGCTTCTAGTAAGTGGTCGGGCTCTCAGGGAGTCACTCAGTGGGCTGCCATGTTTCTGATCCGTGTGTCCAGGGGGCTCATTAGATTTCTAATAAGGAAGGAAGTAGTAATACGCTGAACTTAGCACTTTATGGTAGCAAAGAAAAGGGGATGGTAGCTTCATGGTGGAGGGGGATGTGAGGGTTGAGGAGGGTGAGTTTTAGAGACAAGGGTGAGACGTACAGAGACAGGAAGAAGAGTCGATAATCACTTCCAAGAGTGATGATGGTGGGTCCTTGCTGTCTCTTGATAGCATATAACATTAGTAAGAGAAGAAAAGTCTCATATGTATCAGTGGAACTTCTGTGTTATATTAACATTGTTTCCTTATTTTCCGATTGCAGATGAGGTAATTTGATTTACAGAAATAGGCTTATAACAAAGCCTTGTATGTATTTTTTTCCTAGTTCATGTGTATTTTGCTTATTTTCCGGATTAGATTCTAAATGTTGTGAGGAAATTGTCCCTGGTCAGTGTCTGGCACTGCATCCATGGTAGTATACGTATAGTAGCAACAAAATATTGAATTAATTGTTAAAACTGTCACTTACCATTTTGAATTACATTTCAGTTTCTAAGTATTGAGGTAATAAGGTATTTTATGTCTATAAAATTAAATGTATATCAGAATGTTGTATTAGCTTAGTGCCGTTAAATAACCATGGCTTAGTTTTTTTTCATTTTATGTTTTGAAGAAGAAAGAAGATTGGATATAGATGAAAAACCCCTAGTTGTGCAATTGAATTGGAATAAAGATGATCGAGAGGGCAGATTTGTTCTTAAGAATGAGAATGATGCCATTCCTCCTAAGGTAGGAGCCCTCAATGTCTTATGCTGCTGTTATCCCAGGGCCAAGGCTGACTGAAATAAACAGGAGACTGATGTCTGGGTTCTAGGAGCTCATTCTCTTGTTTGCTTCTCTTCCTAAACTACTGTTTTACCCTTCTCGTCTCAGAAAAGCATTTAAAAGTAGCCCAGCTTCTCCCTGCTTCATCCTCTGTTTCACTGAATAATGCCAAATATTGCTCCTTCCTTTTTCAAAAACGAGTTATGTAAGCTTTTGTTATTAAGAGATTTAGTGATCAAATAGTCAGCTCCAGTTTGTTTTTCCAAATTATAAAGTCAAAATATGTTTTCGTAAGAATCAGAAGGGAAAATAAAACTTTAATAACCTATTTATTTCAGATACAACTTAATAAGGCACATTTAATACCTTTTTCATATTATATGTGTAAGGTTAGAAATGAGGAAACTTCCTTGAGTTTCTTTGGATGATGAAATAGAGCGATTCTAAGACTTTCTCAGGTAGTAGAATGTGTGGAATTCTGTGCTACTGTTCTTATGTGGAATATGATGAAATATTGGTATAATTTGAAAAATAATTAATTCTGTGTTAAATCAAGTGACATCTGACCCTAGAATTCAGTATTGACAAGTGATAGCAAGTGCAAAGATTAAGAATATTTTGAGAAAATCTATTTAATTTTTTTTCCCAACAATCGGGAAAAGAGTGCCATTGTTCTCTTTTAGCAGCAGAAAATGTTCATTTTGTTTGTATGATGTCAGTGTTCCATGTTGACGAGTCTTGGATATACAGAATGTTTTCTTGGCCTTCTTACTGTGCTCTAGTGACTTGTTGCATTTGCAGCAAATACAAAGTAAGAATGGTGGTCCCTTTTTTCCTTGCTGTTCATGTTTTATTTTATTTCTGTGCCACAACTTCAGCTAATGTGCTTTTCCGTGGGCCGCAGATCTTCATGGATGTGTATTAGAACTGTCAGGTCAGGACGATGCTGAAGTAGCTAGCAGTGGAAATGGAAATGCTAACTTGTAAATCCGAAGGCAATTTTCTTTCCCAATAAAATAATTCTTTCTTATTTTTCTTGATTTTTTTTTTACCAGTCAGGCTATTAAGTTATATAAAACATAATTTGTCTCTGTGTCATCTGCTAGCAGGCTATGTTATAAATTAAGAATAAGCAACCAAATAAACAAGATCTAGAAAAGAAATTAGAAGTTTTTGCACAAACACAATACTTATAACTTTGCTTCATAAAACCTAATTTATTATGGCTACTCTTAACGTTTCTTTTGAAGTTAGGAAAGCATCTATAAAGTGATTATGATTTAAATGCTTAGTTATTTCCATATTTTTATTAGGTTCCTTTTATTCAATTTACTTTATGTAAATTATTTGGGTTTTTATTTATTGAAAATTAGATTTCATGATTCCCGTCCCAGTTTTCTTACTGGGTTTGGTTTTTCATTTGCTTGCTTATTAGTTTGAATTGAGGTAACATTTACACACAGTGGAATGCTCAGATCTTGAATGTATAATTCATTAAGTTTTGATAAATATAGTCATGTAACTGTCAGCCCATTCAAGATAAAGAACATTTCCATCACCCCAGACCTTTCCCTTTTCTAATAGCTCTGTTTTGCTGTAGACTGTGAGATGAAGTTAGCTACCACAAGCCATAGATAGCTTTATGTGATTCTGCGTAGTCGCCAGCCTAGTGATAGTGTTACTTTTATCAGAAGGTTCAAAGTAATGGACCTGAAAAGCAGGAAAAAGAAGGTGTTATCCAGAACTTCAAGAGAACTCTCTCAAAGAAAGAAAAGAAGGAAAAAAAGAAGAGAGAAAAAGAAGCAGTGAGACAGGCATCTGATAAAGAGGATAGACCTTTCCAAGGGGATGACATGTAAGTTAATTTTGGAAATATTCCTATTTCTCTGTGCTTTAAGCCCAAATGTTTTTAATGCAGCAGACCTGTTAAATTACTAGGTAAATTATGAAAAGGATGAATATCAGGAAGTTTATTTGGGTCTACTCTGGCTCTTCTGTGTTGAGGGAAGCTAGAGAGTCTTACCTAAGCAAGATTTGTTGCTGACAATACGTGTCTCACTGTGCTTGCTAATCTTAAATAAGCAAACTGACGAACAGTATTGTTTTTGCTGAGTCGACCATTGATGTCAGTGTTCTGTTCATCTTTGCCTGGCCCTTCCTCTCTGTTTTTTTGGTCCTTTAGGCAGCAGTGGTTTCTTATGTACCTCAGATATGCTTAACAACTGATCAGAGGCTGGCAAGACCAGTGAGAAAAGCAGCCCTTCCCTTTTAAGGTTCAGACCATCTGGTTTAGTCCAGTCCCACCACCTCCCATTCTGTATTCTGTCACACCAGCCCCGTCATAGATGTGTACTTACCTGACTAAAGGTATTTGAGCTTCTGACTCCAGAGCCGAGGGAGTAAGGGAAATCATTGTATCAGAGAGACATTAGAAGAAACTGGCTTTTCCCTCTTATGTTGGAAGTCTCCAGGTCTTAGGGTTAGCCTTGTCAATTTTCAGCTTAGTTAGTTCATTCGCTTATCATATGCTTACTCTTAGGCCTCTTACTCGCCTTGGTATTGACTGCATAGTATTCTGTATTCTGCTTTTCTGTTGCTGAAGTAATCAGCATTCATTTTAGACAATCAGAATATGTAGATTTGTCAGAAAGGGAAAAGGAGTCACCTGTTATCACATGAGCCCAAAGAGGACCATAGTTTGTTTTTGCTGCACAAATATATACACTTCCATTTGTTTATGTAGAGTTTTTATATGGAAATATAATCAAAGTCATTTGAAACTAGTACTTTTTTTTTGGTGAGGAAGATTAGCCCTGAGCTAATGTCCGTTGCGAGTCCTCCTCTTTTTGCTGAGGAAGACTGGCCCTGGGCTAACATCTGTGCCAATCTTCCTCTACTTTATATGGGACGCCGCCACAGCGTGGCTTGACAAGCAGTGTGTCTGCGTGCCTGGGATCCGAACCTGTGAACCCCGGGCCACCGCAGCGGAGCGCGCACACTTAGCTGCTTGCACCACTGGGCTGCCCCAAAACTAGTACTTTTTACTTGATATTTTTCCACTGAAATGTATATATTTTACATAAATATATATTCACAAATATATATTTTTTTCACAAAAATATATAATTTAAATGTGTAGTATTCTATCATATAGTTTTTCCATAATTTATGTAACCTACCCCTTTTTATGTACTTGTAGGTAGTTCACAGGTTTTTTTGGTGTTATAAATAATACTCTGGTGAATATCCTTGTTCTACAACTTTGGGGACTCATCTGATTATTTCCTTAGAAACTATTCTAGAGGAATGGCTCAGCGACATCTTGGGATACTTACATTGCCAGGCTGCCCCTAGAAAAGTCTTCCACAGCCCACAAGCCCTCTCATTTCCTCATACCCTTAGAATTGTTGGGTGTCACAGAACAGTATACTATCTCTACAGTATAGAATATCTTCAGTAAATCAATTTATTATATCATTAGCAAGGTGGATGTCTTTCTACATGTTCATTAACCGTGTATATTCTTCTGTTGCAATGACCTCTTCAAGTTTTTTTCCATTTTTTGATCGAGTCTAAGTGTTCTGTATGTATTGAGGATATTAACCAATTGTCAGTGAATGTAATTTAGAGTGGAATTTGAGCCCATTTTGGATTGCATCAAAGTGGATTTAGATATTAATTTTAGTCAGTGATGCCTATGGAATGAACATGAACTCTTGAGTATAGTATTAGATAGTAAGGCTCTATTTAGTGTAGTTATAGAAGAGGAAGAACTTGTATAAATATATTGCCCATATATGGAAAATATCAAAGAATAGGAGAGTTTAAAACTTCTGTTACAGTTTCTTCTGTTTATGAGTTTAGTTTATAGTGTGATATATTATTTGTGTTAAGAAAATGAGCTACTTAAAATGAGTTAAGTTGTTCACCTTTGATTCAAAGCTTGACTGGTTTTTAATTAAATTATTTTGATGATTAAAAAGGACCTTTAAAGTATATTTGTCAAAATTTTGTAAAGTATATCAATCTTACCTTAATATTCAGTTTCAACTCATCATTCTATACAGTTGACTTGTCATAGGAACTGTTGGAACAATTTCGTTTTGAAAATTTAGCTTCAAGAAAGTAAACATTGGTAAATCTTGTAGTTGTTAAACAATCATGCTGTTTGAGTTCTTCAAGATTTACTTAATTTTAAGACAGATTTTTACTAAATTAAAATATATTTAATCCTTTATTTCTTGTTGTTGGAGTGTTGTATTACTCATTTGGTCTGTTTTAGGATAACACTGGTGAAAATTACTGAAATGTATAATTTATACATTTTTGCTTTTAGTACACAATAATTAAGTTATATAAACTCACTATAAAATTTCAATTATCGATTTCTGCTTATTTCAGTGTGTTAGCTTGTATTGAGAGAAACTTATTCTTGATCAGTAGCACGTGGGAAACAGTACATGACAGACCTATGCAGAGGACAGATGAGCCAGATGACATCTGCTGTTTTGATTTTTGGATGATTACAGTGTAACTATTTCTAATATAAAATTTTAAAAATCTTGTTGGTGCCTTTTTTTCTTACAGTGAGAATTCTCGACTGGCTGCCGAGGTTTACAAAGACATGCCTGAAACCAGCTTTACCCGAACAATTTCGAATCCCGAGGTGGTTATGAAACGACGGAGGCAGCAAAAGCTGGAAAAGAGAATGCAGGAATTTCGGAGCTCAGATGGGCGACCTGATTCAGGTACAGACTGTGAATTGTCTCCTCTGTTATAGTTGTTGTAAAGGGTGTTGTTTAGTTACATGTTTTGTATATGTATGAGGGCTTGCTTAAGTAAAGTTAATGGGTGACACAGTCTGTTAATAACAAACGTCTACCCTGTGTGTCTGGTACAGAAGCAGTTTTGCCTTAAGTATGAGAGTTCTGTTCACAGAGATATTTTTAGTGACATATTTTTCTCCAATGTGGCTTTTTTTTTTTTAATTTTGGAAAATTTTAAATATATACAAAAGAAGAGAGAGGGATGTAATGACCTCCCCATGTACTTGTTACCAAGCTTCCGTAATTAACAACTCATGTTTCATCTCTACTCCCACATATATTGCTCCCATTCCCAAGCTGTATTATTCTGAAGAAAATCCCAAATTTCTCATTATTTCATCTATAAATATTTTGATATATTTTCCTTAAAGGTAAGGATTCTTAAAAAACAAAAACAAAACAAACCACAGTACCATTATCACATACAAAAGAATTAACAATAATTCTTTAGTATCACCAAATATCTATTCATTGTTCAGATTTTGCTGATTGCCTCAGATAATTCCTTTAGTTGAGTCAGGATCCAAATAAAACCAACATTTGGCAGTTGGTAATATGTCATTTATGTCTTTCATTCTAAAATCCCCTTTCTTTTCTTCTCTTTTATCTTACCTCCCACTTTGCTTATTCGTTGCTTTGTTTTTAAAACCTAGGTTGCTTGTCTTGTAGATTTTGCTGACTGCATCCTGTGTTGCTGTATACCATTTTTCCTTCCTGTTTCCTCTATTTCCTTGATTATATACAGATAAAGGTTTAGGTTTTTTTGTAGAGAGAGGGCGAGACAGAAATACTTACCTTAGTATCATCCGCAGGTGACCAGGGGTTTGTGAAATTTTTTAATGAACTCATGGATTTAAAACTTCTCAATGTTTTTCCATCTATTTTGTAGTTATTGCCCTTACTGATCCTTGAATTGTCACTTTGAGCCAGCGAGAGTCTCTTCCAGCTGACACCTGAGTCTTTGACATGGCCCGAGTGATCTTGGAGAGCTTTCCTGTGTGACAAGATGTCTAGACTCACCTGGTGTATTTCCTGCCCAGACTAGGAATTGGCTCTTTCTCTTACTGTAGAGAAGTCCTTGATCTTTTGGTGGGATGGTCATCTGGGTGCTAGGAGTGCTCCCTGTTACTCATTAGTCTTTGCTTCTAAGCCTGTTTAGTGGACAGAGCTAGGAAATAAATTTTTTTTACTTTTGAGATTTTTAAAAATCTGGTATCTATTCTCTTATTATAAAATTCTGCCCTCCTAACAACCATAACTAATTATTTGCTTTTCCCTCTAATATATAGTAATAATATCAAAATAAAAATAATGCTATTATTAATAACAATATGATACTGAAAACATTTTAAGCTTTTGGTGAAACTTGTTTGTGAATATATCCTACAAGGATATACTGTCAAATTACTGTGTTTTGAAATCACATGATTGATTTCCTGTCTATATGGTTATATACCCGTATTGATTTATACTTGTTTATTTGTTTTATTTTGCTTTTCATTTTAGAGATTTGCTTCTTTAAAATTTAATGTTGTTTAATAGTTTCTAAGTTAGATCTACAAAACAAGGTATATTTAGAGAAGTCCAGCTTTTGTTGCCTGCAGCCCCTTTAATTAAATAGCAGCGTACTGTGCACTTTTCCCCCACCTTGATTTTTCCACTTATCCAGCATATCCTGGAGATTACTCCGTATTTCTGAGGGAAATAGAGATTATAAAGGGAGTTAAAACACATGACTTTACTATTTGAGCTATAAATTGGTTTTGTATATTTTTAGCTATTTGGCATATAAAACTTTTATTTGTAGTTAACCTGTAATTGTATTCAGCAAAGAAAATACTTGTTATAAAGTTACAAGTTAATTATAGTTTTACTTGTTAAAAAATAATAGTATATCATTTGAGTTCCAAAAAAATCGTTGTGTTAGAGGGCTGTATCATTGATCCAGCCTTTCCTGAAAATGTCTGTCCTAATGTCCTCAACTCTATAGTTCTTTTATAATGATATATTCAGTTGCTTAAGAATTGGGCATTGTCGCATTGCATCCTGTACAGCTATTAGCTTACTTAATAGTTATAGGATTTTGAATGTTGGGATTGGCAGTGTTTCTCTAAAGCTTCATTTATAACAGTTTAGACTAGGAAGGGTTGCTTAATTGTGGACCTCTTCTCTTGAATCCATGTCTGAGTCAAAGGGTTTTAGTCCCTATCCAGGTCGTTTCTGTCTTTTTTTGTGTGTGTGAGGAAGATCGGCCCTGAGCTAACATCTGCCAATCCTCCTCTTTTTGCTGAGGAAGACTGGCCCTGAGCTAATATCCATGTGCATCTTCCTCTACTTTACATGGGACGCCACCACAGCATGGCTTGACAAGCGGTGTGTCGGTGCGCGCTCGGGATCCAAACCGGCGAACCCCGGGCCCCTGCAGCGGAGGGCGCACACTTCACCTTGCGCCACCGGGCCAGCCTCTCCAGGTCGTTTTTATAACTGTAATCCAGTGTACATATGTGGCAGCAGGTTAGATTCGTGAGGGGGAAGCTGTGTTTACACTCATGTTATATTTGTGGGAACACTTTTTCTCTATTTTATTAGTTGTCTCTCTTGTCTTCATTTGTGAGGTAGTCTATGGACCATGGTTCTAAAATGCATGGTCACTTGATTCTGCCCCCATGATAGAAATTGCTGATGATTCCATTTCTTCTGAGCTTCTACAGAGCTTTGTGTTTCAATGTGGTATTTCAGACAGCCGCTAGCCATGATGGAAGCTGGCCCTGAAAGTTATTTGCCACTCTAGGATCACATGTTTAATTTGACCCTTAGTGTCCTTATAACTGAGTCTTATATATTTCATGCGAGTTGTGTTATTGGTGATTCAAAAAAACTAGAAGAGTGAGGGACTTGTTAGTTCCATGAATCATTTAATAGATTACTTTTGAGACACAAATGATTATCTGATTATATATATCCTATCTTGTTCAATGAAGAATTTGAAATGACTTACAAATATATACACTAAAGAAAAAACCAAATGAGGAGGAGGGAAAGAAAATACAAAGATGAAGACAAAGAAGAAGAAAGGTAGTAGAAATTTTAAAAAGGACAAGAGGAATGCCCAGGCATAGCTACCATGTGCTGACCTACTACCTGCCATCCTGAAGGGACTTTGTGTGCCACCGGAAGGGGTTTGACATTATTGAAATGATAATTTCCTCAGTGATTCCTTGAGGAATATTTAAGTATGGGCTTGGGGGTGTCTGAGTCATGATAAGGATAGCTAGGTTGGAGTATCAATTTTTGTGAGTAACTTAATAAAATATTTTTGTAAGAAATTTTTAATATGGAGTAGGATGTAACATTTATATATATTGTTAAGATAAAACAGGAAACTCTGCATGTCACTTCAGGCTATGCCCTCAGGGACCCATATTTATTTTCCTCTGCCTTTGGGGGAACTTTGATGGAATGTTTTGATATAATCTGTTAATAAGATGCTGAAGAGTTTTAAGCTGGGGATTTAGAAAGCTTTTAATTTAGCCTAAGCGTCAGATCTGAAGAGTTTACTGTGGAAGCAGAGTAGAGGATGGATTTGAGGGGATTGGCGATTAGAAGTAGGGATGCCCATTAAAAGTATTGTGTCGCCCGTGTAACAAATGAACCTCTGAACTCAGTCATTGACGGTGGGCTGTAAAGAGAGAGAGAGGATGGAAGAAATATTTAAGAGGTAACAGACTGGATTTTACTGCAAGGGGAGGCATTCAGGATGACCCCTGTTTCCAATTGGATAGATGTTGATGGACTGTGGAATTAAGGAACATTTGAGAGTGGAAGATACGTTTTGTTTATGTGTGTCATAGGAGGTGCTGGCATGATATGGAGTATCTTTTAGACTGGTGGTTCAGTGACTCTAGAGTACTGGTCAGCAGTGTCATATGGGGATAAAGATTGGGGAGTAATCTGTGATTGGGAGCGAACATCATGGGCATGGATGAGATTTTTTTGGGTAGAAAATATACATGTAATTCAGAAATTTAAGAGAAGGCCATTGTTAAGAGGAGTAGACAAAGAAAACAGGAAAAAAAAATCTCCAAAGAATTAGGAGGAGAAACAAGAACATCCAAGAAGTAGAGCTCGTCTATTAAAAGGATGGTCGGGGGTGGAAGGAACATTTTTCTTTACAGACTCCCAGAAACCCTAAAAAACTGGGTATTATTGTTAGTAAAATAGCTGTTTATGGTTAATATTAAGGAAGTCAGATATTCAAGTGTTTTGTTTGTTTTTAATAAATAACTTAGGAAAATATATCTTTATAACCTACTGTAACTGTTAGCTTAGCTATTAGGTTGATAAAGAATGTGGGCTGGGGACGTGGCCACATGTGGGTGAGGCTTCTCTGAGAGTGATAGCTGAGTCTATTATTTTCCTCTCTTGTTAGCCTGAGGGTTGGTTCCCCAAGTTCTGATGACATACGTGTGTCTGTCTGTCTCACTTTGCAGCTGATCAGGCGTCGTAGCTCAGGTTTACTCATTTTGTGATGTCTTCAAAGTGTAATTGACCCAGAAATGCTCTGTATGTTTCAATTAATTGATTTGTGGCACAAATATTCTACCACCAGTTATAGTCAGGGCTTTTTTTTACTGAGACATTCATTAATGAAATTGTAAGAGGCTTGAGGGAGTCAGTCCTTCCACATCAGTTTTTTTGTGAACAGTCTTGGGAGTGGCAGGGCATCATGACATGGACCCTGGAGTTGGGTTGCAGTTGGGATCCTTGTGTACTGTGAGCCTTGATTTGTTCATGTTCAGAATAGGGTAATAATCCTACCTTCATTTTAGAACTGAAACAAATATTTATACAAATAGATTTTAGTCCATAGTAGGAACTTTAAAATGTTAGCTTTTCTTTCTCCTTCCTTAGCAAATTGGGAGGTATGTATCTCTATTAAGTCAATACCATTGTATATGCTTATAAACTAAAAACCTTTTAAATTAGACTATGTTCATTTTTTGCTTTTTTTGTCAGAATGCCTTAACATTTGTTATGTTAAAACCAAATTAAGTTTTAGATAGATGTTCTGAAACATTCAAATGGATGATAAAAGGAATTCCATCCAATAGCTAAATTCATTTGGCCACATGAATATGAATTTTACAGTTACCTCATGGTGTGTCCTTTAGAAGAAGTGCCACTCAAAATTATATCTTCTGTAGGAACCATGCTGATTTTTTAAAATGACTTTCTGATAAACCTTGTCCTTAAATTTTTTCAGACCAAATAGTCTTCCATCATCAAGGTTTGTAACTTTGGTATTACAAAGTATTGTTCTAGGATTTCAGCAGGTGTAAAATATTTTAGAAAAACTAACTTTCTGACCATATGCATTTTTCTTTGCTGTCTAGGTGAAGATACGTAAAATATTTTAGAAAAACTAACTTTCTGACCATATGCATTTTTCTTTGCTGTCTAGGTGAAGATACAAGTCCATCTCTTCAGCTTTCAAAACAGATGGTCTAGTTTGCTCTTTGGTTGTCTCGTGTGTAAAGCACATAGACGTTCCCTCAGTCTATAAAAATGTTTTTACTCATCTTCTTGTGCTATGTTTTTCTTGTAAATTACTTCAAATCTGTATTTAGAAGTAGAGTATAACTAAGTAAGGAGGGGATGCTTTTTAGTGTAGTGGACTCTGTGCTTTCAAGACTGGCCTCCCTGCTGGTGCTGTGGTCCCTTCTACAGCTGATCGTTACCCAGAAGCCGGGGTCCTCTTTGTAAAGCACAAGTGGCATTTGCCCACTTCCCTATACACACACACACGCTCTCTCTCTCTCTGATCATGGTCTGTGAAATCGTGCGTGATCTGGTCTCAGCCAGTCTCTGACTGCATCTCCCTCTTTTCACCTCAGTCTGTCCACTTTGGCCAGTGACCCTTGCCAGACTTATCCCAGTAATAGACCTTACTCTTGCTAGTCTGTCTGCCCAGAAAGCTCTGTACGTGGTCACGTGGCTGCTGCTCCTTATCATTCAGGGCTCATGACAGGTGGTGCTTCAGAGATGCCTCTACCGGTTACCCGGCCTCAGGAGGCTCTCGGTCATTTTCTTTCTCGCAACCATGCTTCTCTTTTTCACAGCAGGTACCACTCCCTTAAATCATTTATTTGTCTGTTTTCTCGTGAGTCTTCTCCCCCTGCACCCTACAGCTAGAATATAAGCTGTTTGAAGGCAGGAACACTGACCTGTTCATTGCTGTGTCCTCAGCACTGAAACAGTGGGCCCTCGATCCGTATGAGTTTGCACATAGTAAAATGTGTTGACAGCCTGACTCCTGGCCTGCGTCAGCAGGTCCACATTGTAATACTAGCATGGACTAGCTGACTTCCTAAAAGACCAACATTATTTTATTGTGAGTCAAGTTGTCAAAATGCAGTTTGTGCCAGACTTGTTGAAAAAGAGAACATGAGAAATATTCAGTAGCCAGAATAACTGTTGGAGTTAAAAAGAGGCAAGGAGTCATGGAAATGTAGAACTTGCTTCGAGAGAGCCCTAATTCTTTTAATCCCGCTTTTTAATTTACAGGTAAGAAAAGGATGTTAGAAAGCTTACCCCAGGGCACGCACAGTAGAGTGGAGGAGGAGCCTCGCATAACTTCCTCCTCCAGGATTCCTTCATCTAGACAGAAGACTTTAGGGCTTGTAGACCTTAGATCATCAGTAGAAAGCAAATTATGACACCAAAAATGACAATAATATAGCATTTATGTAGAATTTCATTAAAAAGAAGTATACAAACAAAAAGGAAAACCTCACGATATCCAAATTGCTCTGCTCTAGTTAGTTTTTTTCCCTCCCAAATGAGTTCACAGCTAGAAATGGCATTCTGGTTTGCAGACCTGGAAGTAAAAATAGAGCCCATTGCTTTGGTGGCAAATACCTTATGAAACATCTTTGGACTTCAGCACCTGAAGTCTCCTGCTTTCTAGTTCAGTCTTTTAAAATTGATTTATGTAGTGGGATTAATATTTGGCCTTATCTGAATTTTTAATTTGTTTCTGATGGATGTTCAGGAAGTAGAGGAAATGGGGAAGATAGGTATATAACAATGCTTAGGGAAGGAAGTGGGAAAGCAGTTGAAGAAAGAGCAGCAGTGTCAGGAAGCTCCAGAGTTTCCTCCTGTCTGTCCTTCACCCATGGTGGAGATCAGTCCATCACTATAAAAACGCTTGGGCTTGAAGTGAGGACAGAAACAGTCCTGACAGGATTAGCAAAATGTTGCTAGATCAGCAGGTTACTGCTAATGTATGTTATCTAACCGAAAATGAAAACAGAATTGTTACACGGTTCCTTCTTTGCACTCATTGCAGCTGGAACTTAGGTGCCCTTTTCTTAAGTGATTGTACACATTAGCTCTCCCTATTATTGGAATAAAGTAAAGTTGTACTCAAAGATGTCCAAATGTTTTTTCAGGTGGAACACTGAGAATTTATGCAGATAGTTTAAAACCAAATATTCCCTACAAGACAATCCTGCTGTCTACTACAGACCCTGCAGACTTTGCTGTGGCTGAAGCTTTGGAGAAGTATGGTCTGGAAAAAGAAAACCCTCAGGATTACTGCATTGCCCGGGTGAGTAACTGTTCCATCAGTACTTAATATTCTGGAAATGAAGTGAAACCTAGACTGGTTTTCTCCCCACTGTATCATTTAGAATCTGATAAACTGAAACCATGCATTAAATATATATAAAAAACAGCATTCTCCTTCCATTACAAAAGGAATATATGTTCCTGTTATAAAGTAAGAAAAGTCTAAAAAGGCAACTAGTTCTGATACCAAAGGATAACTACTATTCACATTTTCGTATATATCCTTCCAATTATTATTTTGCATATATGGGTAACTTAATTTTATTTTAGTGAAATCTGCTTTAATGATGTTTTTCTTATGGTTTTTACTGAGATATGTCATGAAGATTCAACTTTTAAATAAATTGCAGTTTGCTGTTCATAATTAACCAACATTTGGTCAATATGTTTAATAGTCGTCCTAATTTCTTAGAGATAAAGAATGTATCTTTGACCCTAGTACTCAAGAAATACAGTGAAATTTTATGCCTCAGAATTGATTTGGTAACACTATGTAAAATCAAGCAGGTTTTCTCTTTTGAGACAGACTACTTGGAAAATTGTTAACCTTAAAATCTGTCACAAGTATATACTAACTACTTTATAACCAATATTTCTCTGTCAAAAATCTCATTGGCAGGGGCTGGCCCGGTGGCGCAAGCGGTTAAGTGCCGTGCGCTCCGCTGTGGCGGCCCGGGGTTCGCCGGTTCGGATCCTGGGCGTGCACCGATGCACCACTTGTCAAGCCATGCTGTGGCGGCGTCCCATGTAAAGTGGAGAAAGACGGGCACACATGTTAGCCCAGGGCCAGTCTTCCTCAGCAAAAAAAGAGGAGGATTGGCAGATGTTAGCTCAGGGCTGATCTTCCTCACAAAAAAAAAAAAAAAAAAGTCTCATTGGCAGTAGATTTTTTTAAAAGATATCTTACTGGGGCCGGCCTGGTGGTATAGTGGTTAAGTTGGTGTGCTCTGCTTCAGTGGCCTGGGGTTCACAGGTTCGGATCCCGGGCGTGGACCTATGCACCGCTTATCAAGCCATGCTGTGGCAGGCATGCCACGTGTAAAGTAGAGGAGGATGGGCACGGCTGTTAGCTCAGGGCCACTCTTCCTCAGCAAAAAGAGGAGGATTGGCAACAGATGTTAGCTTAGGGCTAATCTTCCTCACCAAAAAAAAAAAAGATACTCTCCTGTCTCTCATCTTAGCAATTGATTATTAAATAATAAAATAGTGTGATTACTTGTTTTAATTCTCCCCCCGCCAAGGTTATTGAGGAATAATTAAAGTACAATAAATTGCATGTATTTAAAGTCTGTAATGCCATATGTGTTTTGACTTATCAACACAATGAACATTTCCTTCACTCTCCCGAAGTTTCCTTATGCCTCTTTGTAACCCATCCCTTCCTTCATCCCCTTTCCCCAGGCAACCACTGGTTTGCTTTCTGTCACTACAGATTAGTTGTGTTTTCTAAAATTTTCATATAAATAACATTATGTAGTACGTACTCTTTTTTTGCATGGTTTCTTTTATTCAGCATAATGACTTCAAGAATCATTTCTGTGGTTGTATGTATCAATAGTTGCTTCCTTTTTGTTGCTGAGTAGTATTTCATTCTATGGATATATCACAATTTGTTCAGCCATTTACCTGTTGATGGACATTTGGGTTGTTTTCAGTTTTTGGCTCTTACAGTAAGCTGCTATGAGCATATGTGTCCAGGTCTTCTTGTAGACCTATCTGTTTTTTTGTGTGGTGGGGTAAATACCAAGAGTGCAATGGCTCAATCACGTGGTAGGCATATGTGTAACTTTTTTGGAAACTATGAAACTGTTTTCCAAAGAGATTATACCATTTTACATCCCCCATCAAAAGTCTATGTGAGTTCCAGTTGTGCTCTTTCCTCACTCATACTTGGTATGGTCAGTTATTTTAAATGTTAGCCATTGTGATAGGTTATAGTGGTATCTCATTGTGGAAAAATTGTGAATTTCCCTGATGATATAAATATATGTCAAATCCTATGTATGATACATATGTCGTGAATATTTTTTCCCAGACCGTGGCTTGGCTTGCTTTTTCCTTTTTTTTTTTTTTTTTGTGAGGAAGATCGGCCCTGAGCTAACATCTGCCAATCCTCCTCTTTTTGCTGAGGAAGACTGGCCCCGGGCCAGTATCCATGCCCATCTTCCTCTACTTTATATGGGACACCGGCACAGCATGGCTTGCCAAGTGGTGCGTCGGTGCACGCCCGGGATCCGAACTGGCGAACCCTGGGCCGCTGCAGCAGAGTGCGTGCATTTAACCGCTTGCGCCACTGGGCCGGCCCCGCCTTTTCATTTTCTTACTGGTGTCTTTGAAAGAGTAAAAAATTTTAAATTTTGTCAAAGCCCAACATACTAATTTTTTTTTTAGCATTCAGTGGTTTTTGTATTCGGTATAAGAATTTGCCTCCTCCAAGCTTGCAAATATTTTCTCCTATGTTTTATTATGGAAGATTTATAGTTTTAGGTTTTACAATTAGGTCTGTATGTTCCATTTCAAATTAATATTTGTGTATAGTGTGAGATTAGGGTCGATGTTCACCTTTTGCCATACAGGTAGCCAGTTGATCAAGCCCCATTTGTTAAAAAGACTTTCTCTTCTCCTGTTGAGTGCTTTGGCACCTTCGTCGAAAATCAATTGACCATATATATGTGTGGTTCTATTTCTGTAATCTGTTCTGTTCCATTGATCTATATGTCCTATATCTTTTTGTCAACACCAAGCTGTATTGATTACTGTGGATTTATAGAGTCTTAAAATCATGTAAGGTAAGTCCCAATTTTTTGTTTTTGCTTTTAAAAATTGCCTTGGTTATTCTAGGTTATTTGCATTTCCAAATAAACTTTAGAATCAGCTTGTCAGTTTCTTTACAAAACCTGCTGGAATTGTGACCAGGTTTGCATCAAATCTGTAGATGAGTCAGAAAGACTTTCCATCCTTAAAATATTCAGTCTTCCAGGCTGTGAGCAGAGTGTGCCTCTTTGTTTATGTGGTCTTCACTAAGCTTGCAGTTGTGTTTTGTGGTGTTCAGTGTGGAGGTCTTAACCTCGTTTGTTAGCTACAAATGGACTCAAGTAAAAGGGCTTGCCTGAGTTTTATGGCTTTTATCTTTTTGCTGAAAAGCTAAGAAGTTATATTTAGTTGGAAAAACTTTTGGTGGGTCTGTAATTTTATGACGATAGCCCAATTTTCAGCTGAAAATAGATGAGAAAACAGATACTGTTCTCCCATTAAAATGACAATAAAGGAATAAAAAAGCCTGTATAAATGCACAAGAACAAAGAGAATGAGAGAAGAGATGGCAAAAGATGAGAGTTGTAGATGAAATTCTGAAGAAGTAAATGAGTGGAATCTAACTTCTGGGACCAGAGAAAGCCTGTAGAGAGAGGACCCACCAGGAAGCAGCGTGCCAGTGTCTGCATCACAATCCCAAGGAGACTCAGGAATGAGAGGCTTTGGCATTTTCTGAGTCAGCATTGAAAGTTGGGCTGAAAACAAACTGGGCTGAAAGTTTTTAAGAAGTAGTACTCTCCATTGTCCCAACTACCATGTCATCTCTCCATCTGAAGGCTAGAGTAAAGCGGATGGGGGAACAGGCCTCGGATTTAGGGATAACAGGCAGAGCGAGTGCGGCAAGGATCTTGACTGAAAACAGGTGGATGAGGTGGAAGGCTGTATCCAGAATACTGACAACCAGAAGATTTAAGGATTCCTCCCAGAAGGCCCTTTCTGGCCAAAGAAGAGAGATCTGTATAGAAAGTGACCTTTGGAAATTCTGTTCCAGTAACCTCACCCAGAGGCCTACCAACAGTAATCTTTGCCCATACGTACTATAGCCGTTACTAACCTTTAGCTTTCTTGTGACTTACTGTTAAATGCCAAGATTTAACAGACACTTGAAAACATCGTTAAAATGAGAGACCATCACAAACAGATAAAAGAACCTGGAGATAAAAGAGACCATGCAGAAAGCAGACGCAAGTGTTCAAAAACTAAGAGACTCGGAGAGATAAGGAGGATCACTTACATCCATGAAATAAGACTAGAATGCTGTAAAGAGGAACATTCAGAGAAAGAGCTCTTGGAAATTTAAAAAAATATAAGTAAATAAGAGATGGAGAAAAATGTCAATAGAAGGGATAGAAGATAAAGTTAAGGAAATCTGTCAGAGTGTAGAACAAAAAGAAAATGAGATAAAAGAGAAAAGATGAGAAATATACATTATCAGTGTAGATTATCTAACATTGGTCTATGGAGGACCAGATAGAGGAAGCAAGAGGAAATGGAGAGAGAAAAGTTCTCACAAGAAATAATACTAGAATGTCTTCCAGAACTGAAGGATTTGAGTTGCTAGGTTGAAAAGGCCATGTGAATAATGGTACAGTTACTTTAGTAGAAAACGACCTGAACCAAGGCATATTATTTTGAAATTGCAGAAAACTAGAGAAAAAGAGAGGATAATGCTTCCAAAGAAAAAGATTGTTGGGCAAGATTGGCACCAGTGATTTCAACAGTGAAGCAGTGCTTTCTAATGCAGAGTGAAATGATTTCCAATCCAGACTCTCAGTTAAGTGTTAGGTGGATAGAATAAAGACATTTCAAAACATGCAGGGCACAAATTTACCACTCATGCATCCTTTCTCAAAAGGGTGCTGGAGGACGTTCTCCAGCAGGATGATGGGGTAGGCCAAAAATGAGAAAGATATAGGATCCCAGAATAGAATCTAGCACAGGGGAAAGTAATCCCAGGGGTGATGGGGAAGGAGAGTCTGGAAGATCACTGTGCAGTTGTCCTAAATAGCACCCACTTCAGAGTGGGGATACTGTCGAGATTGAAAATAACATTTAGAAATATGGTGGTAAGTATTAATTCTAACATCTAAAACAAACAAATGCCAGTAAATTCCTCAGTGTGTTTCTATAAGGACTTTTTTCTTCAGTATTGTGTGTTACAGCAATAAATAAGAATGAAACTAAACACCCCGTCACTAAAGGAACGCTTCTCCCGTTGAATACCTTGTCACTGGGAAACCTTATGAATTAGGTCTGTACTAGTTGACTGGGAGGTATATACATTTTATACCGTACCCTGTTTTTGGAAAAACAATCACTGTAAAATAAAACCACATAACAGAATTCTGTGTGTATGTATGCATGAGAATAGGAAAGGTAAACACATAGGAAGGACACACACCAGCTTATCGGTTACCTACAGGAAGGGAGGAGGGATGAAAAGAAGACTCTTAAAATACCATATATAATTAAGATATGGACCCTCTTGTATAAATTTCAGTGCATAGAGATAATTATTGAAAGAATGATCATAAAAATATAGTTATCAGTATTGTTTTTCTTTTTTCTTCCTTATGCTTTTCTGTATTGGAATTTTTTACAGTGAGCCTGTATTATTCAGAATCAGAAAAAATACAACAGAGCTCATTTCACTGTGGGATGGAGAAAGATAAATGATCTTGAGGATTTGTGGGGGTTTTTTTGTGTGTGTGTGAGGAAGATGAGCCCTGAGCTAACATTTGTCACCAATCCTCCTCTTTTTGCTGAGAAAGACTGGGCCTGGGCTAACATCCGTGCCCATCTTCCTCTACTCTATATGGGACGCCGCCACAGCATGGCTTGACAAGCGGTGCGTTGGTGTGTGACCGGGATCCGAACCCCAGGCAGCCGCAGCGGGGTGTGTGCACTTAACCGCTACACCACCGGGCCAGCCCTGGGTTTGTTTTTTGATGTGCCTTGTCATTCCTTTGATCTTACCAGGAAAGAGTAAGGAATAGTATTGATATATTAGAAGAAAAAAAGATGCTTTCAGAAATGAAAAAAAATTTTATGCCTGATTTCTGGATGGTAGTATTCATCTGATAGGGAAACAGTGTCATGAACTGAAATTCTACCATACTTTGGGGAGGAGGTTGGTAGGCTAAGATTGGGAGGATAGATAATCAAGATAATCATGCATTTTCTCTGAAGGAAAAATATTGAGATGCAGGGCATTCTGGTGCATTTTCCTCCTGGCAGTTAAGTAGGAAGTAGAGGAGAACCCTGTTGCAGTGCTGGGCTTTGTGAAATTATTGCTTTTCTGTTTAGAAGAAATATATAGCGAGCATCCTTGTACATATGGGCAATACATTTATATCTATAGAATAATCGGGTCCAGTGATAATGATGGATTTTTGATACACGTCCCTTATACTTTTGGTTAGTAACTGCTGTGAAAAGTGTCCTTACTCAGAATAAAATCAATAAAACAATAGTGAATTAGGGTTAGGCTGTGAGCACCGAGGGAGGAACTGTATTACCCGCCCTGCCTAGCCTTGCGCTTGATTCTTGGGATTGTTCGTGTGTTTGCCCAGGGAATGTTTTTGTTCAAGTGTATGTAAATCTGTTAAATAATGATCAGTTCCATAAAGTTGCATTTGATATGATATGTGATAATGAACTTCATAACATTTTTTTCTTTTCAATAATTTCTGCCTTATTTTTACTGATGAAAATCAGAAAGTGAAAGAACACCTTAATCAGGGTCGTGAAATTATAAAAGCTTGCTTTGAGCTTTTATTGACAGTCCCTTTTGAGGTCATTTGATGATTTCTTTTGAGGGTCTCCTGGTTTTGGTTTTCTGTTCTATTTTGCCCTTGCACATTTTTTTTTTGCAAGCTTAGGCAGTACAAATCAAAGAGTTGATTATTGTTTTAACCTTGAACTAGGAATTCTTTGTTTTCTTGGCTTGCCATCTCATAAATTATGTAACATGTAGTTCTTCCATATTCATTCATTCATCTGTTATTTTATCTAATTAATTATTCAATACATATTTAAGTTCCTCTTTTTTTTTAGATACTATGCTGGGGTAGAAAGATAGGAGCCGCCTTTAAAACAGTTTATAAAAAGGGAGACAGGCCAAGAATGAGAATACAAACAAGGAGCTTTTAAATTAGAATGGAGGTCAGGCAAGGCTTCCTGGAAGGGTTGTACTTGAGCTGAAAGATGAGTGGATGTTAGCTAGGCACAAAAGTTGGTGAATGGGCTTCTTAGGCACAAGGGGTCATGGAAGCATGAAATTCGTGGCCTGATTTGAGAACTCTGAGTAGTTCCTTGTGGCTGGATCTACAACGGTACATGACAAAGATTGAAATTGAAGAGGTGAGTGAAGGTCAGATCCTGAAGTTGTATGTGTTCTAAGTGAAAGATACTAAACTTAATACAAAACGCTACGAAGAAAGATTGATAACTTGAGCATGTGTGTGTGTTTTGACAGATTTGTCTTTTTAAGGTAATTTGAAGCAGGATAGAGAGAAATTATAGAGTTCTATAGAGGAGTCTAATCCATTTGGTATATGAGCATGGTGATGGATTTGGGTGGTAAGGTCTGTTAAGACAACATGATTACATTAACTGTAGGCTGAAAATAGTGTTCCGGTGCTGGCGACTTGGCTGCCTCTCGTCTTTTCTGTAGTCGTCTTTTCTGTAGTCGTCTTTTCTATAGTCGTGTCTTGGTTGGTGTTAGTAGTAAATCAGAGTGACAGTGAAGCAGAAGTCAAGCAGGGTATGTGAGATTATTGGGCCACTGCCGCCTGTCTTCTTTCCCTGGGGGCTTTCTTGGTTGATTAAGAAAATTGTTCGGCTATCATAAAAACATAGAATAAAAGGTATTACAGCGTTTTGAATTTTTAAGAGTTTTGTGAATGTAGTATCTTAAAACAGATGCTTAGAAACATTTGCTGAATGAATAGCCCAGTAATATTATCTAAATGATCTGATTAAAATTTAGTCATAAAGGCAGATTACCTGCAGGAAAAAGAAAGCTATTCTGTTTTGTTGTTATGTGATGGTTATCCTGAGAGAGCTCACATTAGATGAAACTACCTTATAAAAACAATTATTTGATTATGAAGGTGGGTTAGGGACTAGAGAGATTGAGTTTGCAATAATAAAGTTATCTTAAGAGCCAGCCCTGATGGCCTAGCTGGGTAGATGTTGGCGTACTCTGCTTCAGCGGCCCGGGTTCAGTTCCTGGGCATGGAACTTGTCTGTTAGTAGCCATGCAGAAGAGCTAGAAGGACTTACAACTAGAATATACAACTATGTACTGGGGCTTTGGGGAGGGGAAAAAAAAAAGTTAAGAAATTACTCACAAGTTAACCATTACATATATGTCCTTCCATATAAAAGTTCGTTAAAAAAATACTAGTTCTTTTTGGGGGCCAGAGAGGTAGGTGAATAAAAACAGCCCAGTCAGCTGGCTAAGTCTTTTATTGGAGACTGTTTTTTCCTTCACTTTTGGAGATGGTTTATTTGAGTGAGAATTGTTTATAGTGTTTGATCAATTTCATTCTACAGTGACTTTTTAATTTACCCAAAAACAGTAAGTTCTTTCTTTTAAATACCTGCTAATAATTTACTTTTTAGGTATAGTCACATAGTATAATAGTATAATAGTTTTTTCCTTTTAGGTTATGCTTCCTCCTGGAGCCCAGCATTCTGATGAAAAAGGTGCTAAAGAAATTATCCTTGATGATGATGAGTGTCCTTTACAAATCTTCAGGGAATGGCCAAGTGACAAAGGTAAAGAGTAATTTTATTTGTTCAAGAATTACTTCTATGATATGTTAAATTTCTACTTGATACACTAGTTGTTTAGCTTATCAAAGTATGTAGGAGAGTGTGCATGGCAGTGTTGTTAATGGCTGTTTGCTGTACAGTTTTCAGCCTCCTTCCTAGACTTGCTGTGTGATTCCTAGGCGGTCCCCTTGTGCCCAGGGCTGCACTCAGCTTGTGCGACTCTCATGCTTAGACCTGGAACAAACGGTCACACTGCAGTAGGAGTACTGTGTCTGGAAGAAGCCAGACTTTAGCACTGTGTCAAGAAGTGGAAGATGATTATCTGTCAGCAGTGGAATCCTTTCCGTGCTGACCCGGTGAACTGGTTGGTGTTTGGACAAATTTGTTGTAATAGGGAAAATAACTCACAACCCTAAAGATTGTCCAGTAATTTAGTTATTTCAAATAATGAATCCAGACTTTTCACTTTTTACACAATTTCCCCTAATATTTCAAAGCAGTGAAGGTTTAAAGCTATGTTTTTGATGAAATGATAGTTTTTTTTTTTTAGATTCACATTATGATCTGACTGTTGCTCAGTAGAGGGCCTTTCCATTGATAAAGACATAAAAATTTATTGCCAGTTAACCCTATCAATACTTGAATGTAGATTGATAGTTTTAAAAGTACACTTGCTTAGTACTTTTTCTAGACAGTAAAAGTTAAAGTCCATTTGCTTTGAATTCTGAGTTAATTGACTTAAAGTCAATTCAATTAAAAATATATTTGTGTGTATGTATTTTCTGTGCCTATGTTATATATATCAATATATTTATTGATCATTGGGTTATTTACCAATATAAACATTCATTTATTCTTAAACTGATGTGTTGTTTTTTAAGCATGTAATGTGCTTGGGTAGTTGTTAATTTAAAATAATCTTTGGAAATCACTTGCTAGAGTTTTTCAGAACACATCTAGACTGATAGTTCCTCTACTGACTATAGGTATAGATTAGGTAAGCTTTCATTCAATTATTCCTTGAGAGATGTTATTAAATTGCATTTTTTAAATAAATCTTTGAGGAATTGTCTGCCAGTCAGCTGGCTATCTACACTAACTTGAGTCTGGTTGATAATTTACAGTGTTCTTGTTCTAGGGATTTTAGTCTTTCAGTTGAAGAGGAGGCCACCAGACTGTATCCCAAAGAAAACTAAGAAACACAGCGATGGGAAGCCAGTGAAGGGAAAGGAGAGAGCTGATGGGTCTGGCTATGGCTCGGCACTTCCACCTGAAAAACTGCCCTATCTGGTAGAGTTAAGCCCAGGTGAGAAATAGTATAAATTTGTGATTTTTTAGCTTTAAATGTTTATATTTTTTAATGAATTTTGTTTAAGTAGCCTTTCTGTTGGCTGACAACCTTTTTTAGGCTATTTATTTAAAAAAAAAAGGAACTCTCTTGTAAGATGACATTTTAAAAAAAAGAACCTCAAGGTCACATTCATTTATAAAAATAAAGTTCATATGGACAAAAATGAACATTGAAAAACAAAATTTAAAACAGTGAATATAGAGACTTTAAGAAGTCTAAATGATCCACTCCCTTTTAAAAATTTTTTCCCAAAATAACCTTGTAAAATACTAAAAATGACAAACAGAAGTGTACTCCTCTTAGGGCAGATTTAATTGAGGCAATGTGTATATATTTACCATAATATTGTTTAATGTATGACCAATGTCTGAAAAGAATATCTTTAAATTTAACAGTTCATCTAAGAATTGCATCTATAAGAGGAAGGATATTTGTTTGGTTTTAAAATTGTAATAGACTAAGTTTATTTTCATGTTAGTCCTCTAAATATTTTGTTTGTAGATCTCTCTTAAGCTAAAGCTGTTGTTGTAAGTTAACCCGTAGGTAGAGAAATACATTGACATTCTTTAATGTTTTATACACACACACATCCTTACGTAGCATATATATTTGCATATATGCGATATACATGGCGTATTTGTTTATCTTTCAGCTCAACTACATCATTTCTTATTTGTAGAGTTAAAACAGTAGTGTGTGACCTGTATTATAAAAAGCTATGAAAAACGGTATTTCACCGTCCCACCCAGAACTGCTTTTAAATAAAGCTCAATTTGTAATTACAGAAAAAGTTAGCTGAAACTCAAACCTCTTATGTAGATAATCTGTGGTTCTTTGGGCAGGAATTATGTTTTTCTCTTCTTTGACTCTTGAGTGTTTACATCTATTTACAAGATTAGAACTAATGATGGGTTATGGTGCTTGTGGTCCAGCAGTCTCGGCACAGCTAGGGTACATCGATACAGGAAGAATGGTGGTGCTTTGACTGATACTCTGTAACTTACAGTCAGTGTCAGTATGCTGCGGGTAGTTTTTATACTGAATTATGTTTGAGGACTTGTTTTTTAATTGATTAGCTGGGGCCGGCCCCGTGGCTTAGCGGTTAAGTGCGCGTGCTCCGCTGCTGGCGGCCCGGGTTCGGATCCTGGGCGTGCACCGATGCACTGCTTCTCTGGCCATGCTGAGGCCGCGTCCCACATACAGCAATTAGAAGGATGTGCAACTATGACATACAACTGTCTACTGGGGCTTTGGGGGAAAAAAAAAGGAGGAGGATTGGCAATAGATGTTAGCTCAGAGCTGGTCTTCCTCAGCAAAAAGAGGAGGATTAGCATGGATGTTGGCTCAGGGCTGATCTTCCTCACACACACACAAAAAAAAAAATAATAATAATTGATTAGCTATTTGTGAGGAATATATTAGTGTTGCTTGGTCCCTCAGTTTTCTGACTGAAAAGTTCATTTAAACTTCTGGTTTCTCACTGGTTTTGAAACGTATCTTGGTATTACTGTGTCCCTGCAGAGTGTGTGGGAGTGTTGGCGCTCGGTTGTCCCAGGCCATGAATGGCAACCGTGAGACAGCCATTCATTTTCGAATTAAAAATATTTTAGGATCTTTGGGCATTGGGTCTGTTCTTTTAAATTTTGTCTTAGATGTTAGAAACTAATGATTGCTTTCTCTAAACCAAAATTTTTGAGGATTTAATGCGTTTAGCCCAGAGATAATTGATAAATAACAGCCAATATAGAAAAGTTTTCAAATGGATGATGGAAAGTTGATTTGGGTGGGTAGCAGAGACAGGATAAGAATTCATTCATTCATTTATTTGACAAATGTTTACTGAATACTTATGGTGTGTCAGACACTGTTCTGGGCCTTGGAGGTGGAGCACCAACAAGAGAGGGAACCCGTGACCTTGGCAACACATAATCTAGTAAGAATTGCTATTTTGACTGCTTATTTCATACTCTAGTCTCCCAAGTAATAAAATAGATAGAAGTTTTTCATGGGTGTCGGCAGATAATAGACCATAGATAAACATTAATTCTGTACTACTTTTAACCAGATATTGGCAGCAGCGTATGCTGCGTACTTCTTACTACGTTTCCGTGCTTCATGGCACTCTGCTGCCCTTAGTCAGCATTTACTGAGCTGCTCCTTTAGGCTAAGCAGTGGGTACTGAAGGTCAGATTGCTCCTGCCTTCGAGTGCTGCACACACTGAGAGATACTCGTGATACAATGTGATGGGTCCCAGAGACTGCCTTTAGTCCAGCCTCCCTCCTGAGGACTTGGGACTGCCTGCTGGATAGCTTTACTTGTTCCACAAATGCCTGAAATTCAGATCTGCTATCACTTTTTAAGGGTGAGCAAATAGTTGGTGGCAAGCCTGAATGCTAGGCCAAGGTCTTTCTTACACCAAAGCTGTGTTCTTTTCACTAGGTCATGCTGTCTTTTTAAGTTTTCATTATTATCAATTGAGCACAGTTAGCATACTGAATGAAATTGGTTTATTTTCCATTTATGAGAAAATAATACTCATAAGCGTTGACTTGTTATGAATGGATAAATACTGTATTTCCACAGGACACATTGTCAGCCAGGCGTATATCCTTGGGGTTGGGCTGAGATCCTGAGGTTGTGGACTGGAGGTTTTTGAGATGTGAGCATGTGCTTACACTGTCTCTTGGAGGAGTAGAGTGTAAAAAGTCATTTTATTCTCTGCTTTGGATTTGCTGTGTTCTTTCAACAGAAGGAATCAGCAGAGTGGGGTGGTAGTCTTCTATATGATTAACTAACTATTGCTCTCCTGCTGCTTGGTGACTCACCTGTTGTCTTGGTGTTTTCCCTAACAGTCTGCATTGGTTTCCAAAACACACACTACCTGGAGCATTGTTGTCTTGTCCTCTCAGCTCTGAAAGCTGATGGGGTGAAATAGACTTTTCTTCCTTTGAAGTTGTCTCACTGCAGCTCACCCTCTCCTGTCTCTCTCCTCCTTCCTCTCCCACGTGTTCTGCATGGCCTCTGTCCTGCCGATGCTGCCTTCACCTGGGTCCTGTGCATGTGTTTGTAGCCCCAGGGAGAAGGAATCACTTTGCCTACTACAGCTATCACACTTACGAAGGTAATGCTGTCTTCATACTACTTTTTGAACTGAGCACTCACAGAACCTCATGGGCACAACAGTGTTACTGACCAACTATTTTATGTGTTAGTTTTTGAATTGTTATAAATAAGTTGGATTTTAAGAAATTTAATGTACTATCATTTTATTCATATCTACTAAGGGATCCATATCCAGAATTCATTTCATTTAATGGAAGCTTATTTTGCAGAAATGTCCAATTTCTTTATTCAGGCTGAGTCTTAAGTGAGAAATTGGACTAAAGAAGGGGAGAACTGTTTTCCTATCCTTCCCCTCCTTCCCCCAAGAAAAAGTTAGAAAGAGGGGGAGAAGGAGGGGGAGGAGGCAGGGACAGAGGAAAAGAGAGAATGAGAATATGGTGAGGTAAGAAAGAAAGAAAGAGACTGAGAGGCAGGCAGGCAAGAGGAGCTGTTTTGGTCACCACTGTCACATAATCTAGCTGTGATGTGCTGGGGAAGAGGCATCCCAAGTCCGTGGCCATGTGTCTGATAATCTTTAGGAGGTTACAGAGGAAAAGAATCAGCCATACATTTGGTATTCACTCATATTTATGATCTTTTTTGTAGGGAACCAGTTTACGTTTTGAGCAGGTTTTAGGGTGTTCCTTAGGATTCTCCTTCATTTCTTCTTGTTAACAAAGCTGTACTTTTCTGCTTGGAATATGTTTCTCAAATTTCGTGCATCTCAGTCTTTGTGATCTTAAAATTGTACCATTTTTGGAATACTTATTTTTTGTCTGTTTTTATATTTAAATCTTATTTTTTTACATGTTGATAGTAGTGATCAAATACTTTTCCATGCTGTATAAAGTTTAATTTAGCATCTTATATTGGTTTGTTGAATTTTCTCCAAACTGATAATACACATTTTCATTGGATATTGACCAAACTTAGAATTTGGGGTTTTTGGTCTTTAATATAAACAAGTGATACTTGTTACCTATTTTGATACTCATATATACTTAAAGTAGAGTCTGAGACTTGTTTTTGTCATTATTTTATTCCTAAAAAGGATTCCTTAACTTTTTCATGTGTTTGTTAATTTCATACTGTAAAATAAAGGAACAATAGAGAGAAAAATGCGTCCCCTTTTTTACCTGATGTGTACAGAAAAATGCATATAATATGACTTATATTAGGTCATCAACTTTGACCAAAGTGTTCTTAGTTTTTATGCCAATTCTATGTGAGGAGAGTTAGGGTTTTTTCCTCCAATAAAGTTAGTGAGAATATGCTCTAAGATTTATGTCTCAATAAGCTACAAAACATTTTTTTATAGTTTCTTAACTGTTTTGTTGGTTCTGGAATGTGAGCTCTGTGGGAGTGTGAATTTGTTCTCACCATTACCTCTAGCACCTAGCACCGTGCCCAGACGTGGGGAGCATTCAGCATCCTTTGTGAGCCCTTACCCCCTCCCTCCGTCCATTCGTAAATGGTACGGCAAAGAGGAAATATTTAGCACCACAATCAAACTAACTTGCCAAGGTTCACCCTGGGAAGCAACTGAAGGCAAAAGCAGAATTGGATTTATAGAATTATTGTAAAAACAATAGAGTAAAAAAACAGCAATTACAGTAAAAACAAATGTGCTTTAAAAAGTGTTCTTAGGCTTTGTTCATAACGATCTATTTTCCTTTAATATTTAGAATATTAAAACTTTCTGATACACCTCAGTTAAAAAAAAAAGCAGACAAGATGCAACACAGCGTGGATAGTAATTTAGGGAGGGCAGAGTTGGCAAATAAAGTTGACGACACTTAGATAGATTTGAATTGCAGATAAAATACCAGTTTTTTAGTGTATGTCCCAAATATTGCACATTCGACTGGATTTCATTTAACAGCCCTAAATAGTATTCTAATGTTTGTGCAAAAAAAAGGAGAAAGAAGACTGTGTATCCAATTGTTTAATTATATATGCATAAAACAGATTTTGAAGATTTGCTTCTGAGGGGGAAAACTAGACAGGAGGCAGGGAAGGGAAGGGTACGTTTCACTGTATACTTTTTGTATCTTTTGAATTTTGAACCACATGAATATATTACATATTTTTAAGACAAAATTATAAAATTAAAAAAAATGTTTTTAAAACCTTCTGGTAGAAGTACTACTGTGTGTGGTAGGGTTGCTTAGATTTATCTCTACTTTTAAATGCTGCAGCTGTGTTTGAGTTATCTCCTGGAAAGAAAGGTGCTCAGGCACTCTGGGCAGAAATTGACTCTTTGTGAATAGCTGTGGAGGAAGGGGAGAAAATTTAAGATTTTTGTTTTAGGCAACAATTTTATACGTTCGTTACTGCCTATGAGATGATCATCAGACTTTTAATAAGGAGAGGGAAATGGACTATTACAAGAAGAAGGATGTCAGTTATTTGAACATCACTTGCCTCCCTTTGTCTTTTCTCCCTGCTTCCCCAAGCTCAAGCCAAACACCATTTTATCTACTGAATCCCATGGCTGCTGTTTAGGTTGTTAAAAATCTGTCTATAAAGATTTTGTAAAAAAAAAAAAAAAAAATAGAGACTGGGAAAGAAGTGTATTTTTAATCCATCTGTTGATAGATTTCCATTACAGTGAAATGGTAAGAAAGGAGAGACTGGGGAAGAAGTTTATGTTTCTCCCTTTCTCTTTATTTTTCTAAATGTGTTGATGTAGAAAAGTATATAATATCCATTTATTAGCTCACAAGATACCTTTCAGAAGCATTCAAAACTCAGAATATTAATGTGAATTTTTCTTTCACCCCTAAATAGACATATTTTCATGTTCTTGTATTTTTTTTAACTTTGTGTTGAAATTATTGTTCTTGATCACTTATTTGCTTCTTTTGCTTTCTTTATAATTCATTTGTGTAATTTCTTTGTGACCATATTGCATTAGTCTGTTTTCTTCATTTTTAGTTAATAATTATTCACAATAATGTATTCACAGTTAATAAATTAAATCTTTATTGAATGCATACTGTGGACCAGACACTGTGCCGAGGGCCAGGATAAAGAGATTTTTTTAAAAACCTAGCCACCAAGGAGCTCAGAGATGGGGGAGACAAGTAACTAGAGATCATCATAAAACATGATTAGTGCATTAAGATGAAATAGTCTGTGGTTCTATGGAGGATGAGAGGGACACATGATATTTCTTGACCGGAGTGTTCATTAGGACTGCCTGTGCAGTTTAAAGCAAGCAAAGTAAACATTCCTAGGGGATTTGAACTCAGCAAGTCCAGAAGGGAACTGCCTGTGTCCAGGGAGAGCCCCCAAATAATTCTGACGCTTCATTTGGATCAGGACTTGGAGTTGAAAATAAAATTGTTTAAAAAATGCTTCAATTGCCACTATGTACAATGAGAATATTCCAGCATGCTGTGAAGCAACATGGATGATGAGCCAATTTTATAATGCATATTACAGATTGGTATCTCTCAAATACCATTTCAGTCTCATTTTACCTTTACCCGGATTTCACAGATTTCTGAAATATTTCAGAAATAGAAAATTTTGTTATTAGAATGTTCTTTTGTGTACTCTAAAAGCAGCAACAGCTCTAACAGAACTTGCATATTCATAGTGTCTTTTGTCTGTGAGAGTTCAGACCACACCACAGCTAAGAGATTTTGCAGTCTAAAACACCGTGTACACTCCAAATGTTTAACTTCTGAAGCTCTCATAGCTTACATTCCTGATCTCAGTGACTGGAGATTTTAACTGGCAACTTCATCAGTGATTCTGAAGGTTATTAAGGCATTAGTGAAGTAGGTCAGGGAGGCTTTACTTGGCCTTTTAAGGAGACTTTGCGTAGCATGTACACAGACTAGGCTGACTGTCATGGCTGTGAGATTGTGTTGTGATTCACTGATTCTTTGAGGCACATTTCCTCGTACGTTAACAACTCTGAAATCAGAATAAGTCTTTGATTGACGTCATCCTGTATTAGACGGAATATAGTAGGTGAGAAGTGAATAAACATATCTGGGTGTAAATGGGACAGATGTCTTGGCAGTGGTTCTTCCTCTTCCTCCTCCCCAAACCATCCCCATCATAGAAATTCATGCACAGGGAAATGAAAAACTTCAACTGTCGTGAAGGTAATTTAAAATGACACAGAATGAAAAACCCAGTCTCCTTTTCTGTCCTTCACCCTAGTTCCATTCCATGGAGCTAAGCACTTGTAACTGTAGTTCTTACTGGAACTTAGTGTCAGTAATGAACGTCAGGATCACTTGGGGAGATTGTTCAGAAGACACATGCTTGGGCCTCATCCTCAAGGATTTTGGTCCAGGAGGTCTGGAATGAGCTATGAAGGCTCATTTAAAAGGCTGCATTAGTGATTCACTTGTGCCTCACCAGCCCGTGTGGTGCTGTGTGCTGTAGAGATGGCAGATTTACCGTAGGGAAGGTTCATGTGTCTTTGATGATCTTGATTTGCGAATAGAATTGCTCTTCAAAATCATTAATAAAGATCCAGGGCTGTGTGGTGGAGAAAATTTCTTTTTTTGTCATGAGAAAATGTTGGTATGAATGATGATGTTAGCACCTTAAATTCTATTAAACAGAAGCTTATGTGTTTGTCTTAATTTGAATTTTCTGTATCCAGTAAGTTAAATTGGATGATATAAATTTGGAGAGTTCTTTGATAAGAAATCCTGAGAATTGAGAACTGTAGTGTCATTTCTAAGATAACATTTTGTTTGCTTGCTTTATTTGCTTATTTCAAATAACATGACAAGAACATTAAACTTTGCAAATGAAGCTCTGTTTCTTCTCTTCTCGCAGATGGTTCTGACTCCAGAGATAAGCCAAAGCTTTACCGCCTTCAGTTAAGTGTTACTGAGGTTGGGACAGAAAAGTTCGATGACAACTCTATCCAGGTGTGCAATCACGCTGCAGCTCTAAGCTTCCTTCTGTAATTCTTACATTTCAGTAGGTAATAGCATGTAGCACAGGGCCTGCGACATGGTAGCGAGTGCATGAATGGGTAAAAATTAAAGACTTTACATGTAAATAGAAATAACTTGTTTACCCTGGGTCACTTTTCTTTGCTTCAGTATGCAGAGAGCGGAGTGTGAGGTTATGTCCACATTCCACCTCTAGAAACTTGGCGTGGTCACTGCATTTACTTTTCTCTGCAAGATGGTGATAATTTTTTGTGTGTGAGGAAGACCAGCCCTGAGCTAACATCTGATGCCAGTCCTCCTCTTTTTTGCTGAGGAAGACTGGCCTTGGGCTAACATCCGTGCCCATCTTCCTCTACTTTATATGGGACGCCGCCATAACATGGCTTAACAAGTGGCGTGTTGGTGCGCGCCCGGGATCCGAACCGGCGAACCCCGGGCCGCCACAGCAGAGTGCACACACTTAACCGCTTGCGCCACTGGGCCAGCCCCAAGATGGTAATAATTTTATAGGTCTGTTTCAGGATAAGGGTGATAATCTATGTGAAGTGCCTGTCCCTGGGTCTGAAACCTAGTAGTAGGCATTCAATAAATGACAATTAAAACGTTAGCTGAATACAGTTCTCAAGTATTTAGTTAAAACAGAGTTTCAGGTGTTTTTTGAGAAAGGAAGGTCAGAGTTCATCACTTCATTGAAGTCGAACTTGGGCAAATCACTCTTCCTCTGTATTCTTGTTGTGAAATGATGGGTCAGATTATTAATGTCATTTTCAATTCTATCATCCCTTCCTTAGCACAGCAGTAAAGCAGGTAAATGGGAATTTGTAATAATGATCTGTATAGATTTATCCATTAATATCTAATAAATGTGTAAGATGACCATATGCTTTTTAATGCAGAGTTACAATATGCCTTAAATCAAGTTACTGCATGTTGAAAATAAAATGTTCAGGTTTTTTTGACAGTTTTGACAGTGTTTAATTACTTTCATACTACTGGAGGAAAATCCACTAAAGAAAACACCAAAAATCCAGAGCTTATTAGATTATATTATCATAAAAAGGGAACTCACAGTTTTAAAATTCTGTTTTCTAATACTATGGACTCTATGATGGAAGTTTCTGTGATTTTATTTTTAGTTGTTTGGTTCAGGAATTCAGCCCCATCACTGTGACCTCACGAACATGGACGGAGTTGTCACTGTCACACCAAGAAGTATGGATGCTGAGACTTACGTGGAAGGACAGCGCATCTCAGAGACAACCATGCTGCAGAGCGGGATGAAAGTGCAGTTCGGGGCGTCTCACGTGTTTAAGTTTGTGGACCCCAGCCAGGACCACGCTCTCACAAAAAGACCTGTGGACGGAGGCGTGACGGTTAAGGGTCCCAGACATAAACCTGGGTAATTATTCTACATCAACTTTAAGAATTGTGGAGTGCTCTGATTATGCCTAAAGTAGTCTGAATTAGGCATAGATTATGTTTTTTCATTTTTTATTTTCTTTTAATTTTAAAAAATTCAAAGTGGGGTTTGTGGTTCTGGTTCTTGTTTTGGGTTGGTTTCAGAGGGAAGAAGAAAGAAAGGTCTTGACTTCATCTTAAAATTGGATGTTGCAGCTAGTTTTTAAATGATGTTTAAATTTTGTTTTTTAGCCGATTCTTTAAAACAGTACTTTATTTGTTGTTTTGTGAAGAATTATGATGTTCTGAGTGACTGACGTTTTTTGCTGAGGTGTTTTTTCTATTACTGATAATGAAGCAGATTACGATGTCTTGAGGAATTCAGAGTATTCTGGCTCCACCTAGTGCCCTTCTGAGGACTTGCAGTGTGGGCCTATTAACTGGAAAACAAGAATCCTTACTGACAGTCTAGTAAAGCTTTTTTCTTGGGGCGGGAATAAGACTCCTTTTTGGAAATGACAATTTTAAGAAAAGAATATACTGTGAGCCACTTTATTATCCATTTTGCAGGTTGATAGGGCATGGACTAGGAAAAAGAGCTGCAGGAGCTTGTCCCTGCTGCTGTTTGGAGTAACCAAGTCTGCTGCAGTAGAAGCTCTCTGCCCCAGGAGCACAGACACAAACGGCTTGGTGGTGGTCTTCTCTCTGTTACCTGTCCTGTTGTTTTGTTCCATGACCTCCTTTGGTTGACCACCCAGAGCTGATACTTGGGGCCAGGTGTGAATTTGTAGAGTTTCTTCGTATTGGTCTTTGGTCAGTTTATCAGCAGTATATCTTCTACTTTGATTGTTCCTGGTGGGTTATCACTGAACTCTGCTTCTTTTTCCATCCTTCATCCGTTCTGAATCCTGGCAAAGGAAAAGGGTGAAAGGCAGATAGTACAATTCAGACCTAATGTCTTTCTCCCAGATGAACACTTTGTAGATTATCACACAGGTTCATGTAGGCAAATTGGATAGTAGAAATTTCATGGGCGGTTTGAGGTCTTCTGTGCCCAGCCTCTTGCACTGAGCTCCAGGTTGCAGCAGAAGACCACACCTCTTAGTTCCCCGAGAAGACCAGCATGTGCCTTTACTATCTGCTTCGCAAAATCCATTTACTTTCTATTTATTCCTAGGATGTTTCACCAAAGAAATGATCATATGAAACAGTTTGTTCTGATGTGTTGTGTGTTTTCAACAGTACCTGTTGGTTATTGCCTCCCATTTGCAATTGTGCTTCATTTAGTTTTATATTTATTTTGATGGTGTTAGTAGTGTTACCGTCCGTACCCGTTGATGTGTATAAACACTATTCTGCAAACTGTCTCTGTGCCGCTATTACAGTCCATCCTTCAGTTTAGCTTGGAGATGCTTTTCTGTACGTGAGAAAATCAGTCCCCTACTGTTGTTTTGCCGTAATGGTTCTTGCTTTGGAGGCCTGCAGTTGTTTCTTCTCATCATATATTTGTGATCAAGAGCAGAAATCATTTAAGAATATGACTTAGATTTAATTGAGAAGAGTGTGCTGTGAAATTTTATTATTCTGTCATTTTCCTATGAAACTAGTGAAAACTGCTTAGTGGTTGAATATATCACTACTTACATATCCGTCCATAAATTAAAAAGGACTTTCATTTTTTTATAAACATTACTTTTGTTCTAATGTCAAACTGTTATACAAATTTCTAGGTAGATAGCCCATATATTTTTTTTCATGCATGTATATATATTTTTTTATTAAGGTATAATTGTCGTGTAATATTATATTAGCTTCCGATGTACAACATTATGATTCGATGCTTGTATATATTGTGAAATGATTACCACAATAGGTCTAGTTAACATTCGTTACCATAGTTACAAAAATTTTTTTTTTCTTGTGATGAGAACTTTTAAGATTTACTCTCTTAGCAACTTTCAGATATGCAACACAGTGTTATTAACTATAGTCACCATGCTATACATTATATCCCCTTGACTTATTTATTTTATAACTGAAAGTTTGTACCTTTTGACGCATTTCGTTCGTCTTCCACCCCCTGCCTTTGGCAACTACCAGTTGGCTCTATGTGTCTGTGAGCTTTGGTTTGTTTTTTTTTTTAGATTCCACATATAAGTGAGATCATATGGTATTAGTCTTTCTCCATCTGACTTATGTCACTTAGCATAATGCCCTCAGGGTACATCCATGTTGTCACAAATGGCACAGTTTCCTTCTTTTTTATGGCTGAATAATATTCCATTGTATATATACTACATTTTCTTTATGCATTCATCCATCAGTGGACACTTAGGTTGTTTCTATATCTTGGCTATTGTAAATAACGCTGCAGTGAACATGGGAGAGCATATATCTTTTTGAGTTAGTGTTGTTTGTTTTCTTCAGATGAATATACAGAAATAGAATTGCTGGATCATATGGTAGTTCTATTTTTAATTTTTCAAGGAGCTTCCATCCTGTTTTCCATAGTGGCTGCACCCATTCACATTCCCACCAGCAGTGCACAGGCCTTCCCTTTTCTCTGTGTCTTCGCCAGCACTTGTTGTTTCTTGTCGTCTTAATAATAGGCATTCTGACAGGTGTGAGATGATATCTCCTTGTGGTTTTGATTTGCATTTCCCTGATGATTAGTGATGTGAGCACCTTTTCATGTACCTATTGGCCATCTGTATGTCTTCTTTGGAAAAATTCAGATCCTCTGCTCCTTTTTTGTTGGGGTTGTTTGTTTTGTTTCTATAGAGTTGTATGAGTTCTTTCTATATTTTGGGTATTAACCCCTAATCATATAAATGATTTGTAAATATTTTGTCCCATTCCATAGGTTGCCTTTTCATTTTGTTGATGGTTTCCTTTGCTGTGTAGAAGCTTTTTAGTTTAATGTAGACCCACTTGTTTATTTTTGTTTTTGTTACCTTTGCTTTTGGTGTCAGATTCAAAAAGTCTTCGCCAAGACCAATGTCAAGGAGCTTACCAGCTATGTTTTCTTCTAGGAGTTTTATAGTTTCAGGACTTAACATTCAAGTCTTTAATCCATTTTGGGTTAATTTTTTGTATGGTGTAAGTTAGTGGTCCAGTTTCATTCTTTTGCATATGGTGGTCCAGTTTTCCCAACATCATTTCTTGAAGAAATGGTCCTTTCTCCATTGTATATTCTTGGCTCCTTTGTCAGAAATTGACTATATGTATGTGGATTTATTTCTGGGCTCTCGGTTCCATTCCATTGATCTATGTGTCTGTTTTTATGCCAGTACTTTTTTTTTTTTTTTTTGCTGAGGAAGACCGGCTCTGAGCTAACATCTATTGCCAATCTTCCTCCTTTTTTTCCCCCAAAGCCCCAGTGGATGGTTGTATGTCATAGTTGCACATCCTTCTAGTTGCTGTATGTGGGACTCGGCCTCAGCGTGGCCGGAGAAGCGGTGCGTCCGTGCGCGCCTGGGATCCGAACCCGGGCCGCCAGCAGCGCAGTGCACGCGCTTAACCGCTAAGCCACCGGGCCGACCAAGCCAGTACTATTTTGATTACTGTTTTTGCTGTTGAGTGGATTCCAACTCCTAATGCCCCTGTGGACAGCAGAGTGGAACCCTGCCTGGTTTTTTTGCACCATTCTCTCTCACCTTCTGGCGCTATATTAGACAGTGCTCTGCTACTATTCATAGGATTTTCATGGCCAGTTTTTGGAAGACCAGGTCCTTCTTTCTAGTCTGTCTTAGTCTGGAAGCTCTGCTGAAACCTGTCCACCATGGATGAACCTGCTCTGAAATACCAGTGGGATAGATTTCAGCATGACAGCAACGTGCAGCCACTACAGTGTGACAACCAATAGACAGGTTCCCTGACCAGGAGATGAACCCGGGCTGTTGCGATGAGAGCGCTGAATCTTAACCACTTGACACCAGGGATGGCCTTTGATTACTGTAGCTTTGTAATATAGTTTGAAATCAGGGAGTGTGATGTCTGCAGCTTTGTTTCTTTTTCCAGCTTTTGCTATTCGAGGTCTTTTGTGGTTCCATACAAATTTTAGGATTGTTTGTTCTATTTCTGTGAAAAATGCCATTGGAATTTTGATAGAGATTCCTTGGAATCTGTAGATTGCTTTGGGTAATATGGACATTTTAACAATATTAATTCTTCCAATCCATGAGCACGGAATATCTTTCCATTTATTTGTGTCTTCAGTTTCTTTCATCAGTGGCTTGTAGTTTTCAGAGTACTGGTCTTTCACCTCTTTGGTTAAATTTATTTCTTAGTATTTTATCCTTTTTGATGTAGTTGTAAATGGGATTGTTTTCTTAATTTTTCCTTCTGGTAGTTCGTTTTTAGTGTATAGAAATACAACAGATTTTTGTGTATAGATTTTGTATCCTGCAGCTTTACTGAATTGGTTTATTAGTTCTAACAGTTTTTAGTGTGGAGTCTTTAGGGTTTTCTGTGTATAATATCATGTGATCTGCAAATAGTGACAGTTTTACTTCTTCCTTTCTGATTTGGATACCATTTATTTCTTTTTCTTGCCTAGTTGCTCTGGCTAGGACTTCCAATACAGTGTTGAATAAAAGTAGTGAGAGTAGGCATCCTTGTCTTGTTCCTGATCTTAGAGGAAAAACTTTCAGCTTTTTACCATTGAGTATGATGTTAGCTGTGGGCTTGTCATATATGTCCTTTATTATGTTGAGGTACAGTCCCTCTATACCTATTTTGTTGAGAGTTTTTATAAATATCATAAATGGATGTTTAATTTTGTGAAATGCTTTTTATGCACTTGCTGAGATGATCATATGATTTTTATTCTTTACTTTGTTAGTGTGGTGTATCACATTGATTGATTTGTGGATGTTGAACCATCCTGGCATCCCTGGAGTAAATCCCACTTGATCATGATTGTGTGATCCTTTTAATGTATTTTTTTTTTTTTTGTGAGGAAGATCAGCCCTGAGCTGACATCCGTGCTAATCCACCTCTTCTTGCTGAGGAAGACCGGCTCTGAGCTAACATCTATTGCCAATCCTCCTCCTTTTTTTACCCCAAAGCCCCAGTAGATAGTTGTGTCATAGTTGCACATCCTGCTAGTTGCTGTATGTGGGACGCGGCCTCAGCATGGCCGAACAAGCAGTGCGTAGGTGCACACCTGGGATCTGAACCCGGGCCGCCAGTAGCGGAGTGCGCGCACGTAACCGCTGAGCCACGGGGATGGCCCTTTTTAATGTATTTTTGAAATTGATTTGCTAATATTTTGTTAAGGATTTTTGCATCTATGTTTATCAGCGATGTTGGCCTATATAATTTTCATTTCTTGTGGCATCCTTGTCTGGTTTTGGTATCAGGATAATGCTGGCCTTGTAAAATGAGTTTGAAAGAATTTTTTCCTCTTCTATTTTTTGAAGAGTTTGAGTAGGATTGATATTAACTGTTCTTTGAATGTTGGTAGAATTCACCATTGAAGCTGTTTGGTCCTGGACTTTTGTTTGTTGGGAAGGTTTTGATTACTAATTCAGTCTCCTTACCTAGTAATTTATGATGTTCACATTTTCTGTTTCTACATGAGTCAGTCTCAGTAGGTTGTATGTTTCTAAGATTTATCCATTTCTTCCAGGTTGTCCAGTTTGTTGGCATATACTTGTTCATAGCAGTAGCTGAAGGTTTGTCAATTTGTTTATCTTTTCCAAGAGCCAGCTCTTAGTTTCAGTGATCTTTTCTCTTGTCGTTTTAGTCTCTACTTCATTTATTTTCACGTTGGTCTTTGTCATTTCCTTCCTTCTAGTAACTTGGGGCTTTGTTCTTCTTTTTCCGGTTCCTTGAGGGCCACATGATACATGTATTGTTAACTGCAGATTTCAGGGTCTGTGGCTTCAGAGCCTTAGTGGTGGTATTCTAGCAAGGTAGCACAGTGTGATATTGATGGTCAGTTTGGGAATTTCAGGGACTTCTGATGACCCATCGATTCATTTATGTATTCATCTAGTCTTCATTCATTGAGCACGTGTGTCATGTGGCATTGCGCTGCGTGCTGAGGTGACCAAGAGATGGTTCTTATACACAAAGGTCATACTTGGACAGTGTCATCAAAGTCATAAATAAAGTCACTTTGTAATTGTTCACATATCCAGAATGCAGTACAAATGAGTCCATGTTAAACTTGAAAGTTTTGATAGGTTTAAAGAAAAAAATAAAAGAGCTTTGCATGGTGTTGAGTAAATTTGTTATTCTAGGATGATAATTACAAATGGAATCAAGAAGGCTTTGGTTCTATTCCTGTACATCCATAAGAGGAAGTTAAGGACAAGTAAGGTGTATGTGCAGCTTTGATAGATGAAAGAGGGAGGAGAACTATCATATTTCCTATTTTAATTGTTAGAGACAAAATAACTGAATTTCTCCTTCAAACCACTGGAAACCAGCAGAATATTTTCTATGTTTTGTGGATATCTTGGTGACAGAGGATAACTATTTAATTTCAAAAAACTTTGTAATGTATTGCATGAAGTCATGTCCAGAAAGTTGATATTTAGCCTTCAGTAAAAGCTTTTATTTTTCTCAAAAGCTACTATTTTGAAGTGTAATATTATTTTGTAGTCTAAGATGATTTTCTTTTCCTAGTGATGGAGTAGAAGAGGAATTTGTACCTGCTTTTCTAGTTTGAAAAATTGATTTGGGGGGCGAGCCAGGTGGTGTAGTGGTTAAGTTCACCTGCTCGCCTTTGGCAGCCTGGGGTTTGCAGGTTCGGATCCCAGGCACAGACCTATGCACCGCTCATCAAGCCATGCTGTGGCCACGTCCCATATACAAAGTCTAGGAAGATTGGCACAGATGTTAGCTCAGGGCTAATCTCCCTCAGCAAAAAGAGGCAGATTGACAACAGATGTTAGTGCAGGGCTGCTCTTCCTAACCAAAAAAAAAAAGTGTTTTGAACTTCTGCATCACTTTCTGGTTTCATTCTATAGATTGGGCTTGAATAAAAGATTCAAATTACCATAGTGCTTTGAAATTAAACCGTGTATTTTTGGAATATTGTAACAAAAGAGATTTTCATTCTTTTTGATTATTTTGTGCAGAAGCCCAGGAAATTTAATCACTGACTCATCCTGTTGGTTTCCAGGTTTTTAGGGCTCTTTTCCCCCTTTGCTTGGGCCTCTTTCATGGGCTGGGACCAGTGGATTGCATTCCTTCTTCATTCATACCAAAGAACTGTAGCTTACCTCAGGTCATTGACTCGTTAAAATGAAACTTTGTTTATATTCTGAATTAATTTTTTTATAATGATGATTTTAATAGGTTTGGTATTTTTAGATATTTAAAAAAATTGTTTAAACTAGAATAACTCTTGATCTGATTACTAACATTATCAAAAATTTCCCCATTCTTTATTTGTAGCGTAAGTAGTCGATAAGTTTTTAAAAAATCATCACACTGGCATAAGTTTTTAAAAAATCATCACACTGGCTTTTAGCCTGGAGGGCAGCTCCCTCTGTGCCTTGTCCTCCCTGTGAGCACTGTCATCTTCCCTGTGTCCACAGGTGGGCCTGCGGCACCCTAGATGTCTCGACTTCGTTTATGTGTTGTTTGCAGCCTACAGAGATCTACGTGATGAAACAGCTTGCTTTTTTTCTTTATGGTTCCTTTCAATTTATTGTTATTAAAGTATAGTTTTAAAAAATATGGTCTTGAGAGTATTCAGCATACATCAGTAAGGAAAGTTCATAAAGTTACAACAGTTTTTTTATTCTTTAACTTTATATGCTGAAACTAAAATGATTTCTTGAAGATCTTTGAACATTGGGATATTTAACTAACTGTTCCTTTTGTATATAAAAGAAGAAGCTATGCCTTATCATTTGAGAATGATTAATCCTATGTATTTCTTTTTTTATCCCAACAGAGTTGTTCAGGAGACAACTTTTGATTTAGGAGGAGATGTTCATAGTGGAACAGCATTACCAACAAGCAAGGTGGGTGACTGTATGTTACCTGATAGGACAGTGTTTTTTAACATTATAAGACACCGTGGATGAATTATTGATAATATACTCATGAAACTTGTAAAAACAGACTTCATGGTGGTCTCTAAGTGTGGGTTGTCCTAATCTGTTGTGTTCTCTCTTAGTGATACATAGATGACATTAGCTGCCTATCTTTTTCCGTTAAGGCCAGGGAAATTGTGCTTTCTTCTAGGCACTGTGTCCCAGGCTTATCCCATGTGTAACCATCCTTCTCCGTCCGGTGACCCCTGAAGATAGTGGACTCCTGCTTGTGTTAACCCTTAGCTTAGGTCCTAGCTCCCACCTGTCACCTAGTCTTTCCTTCTCAGACACTTGACTTTCACAGTTATTCCTTACCTGTTGCATAATCAGTTTATTTCCGTCCTCGTTTTGGTTATCTATTGCTGGGTAACAACCACCCCAAAACTCAGTGAAGTCTGCAGCCAGTTTGTTTATTTATAGTTTATGCAGTGTGGTTTGGACTCAACTGGACAGTTCGTTTGCTGGTCTTGGCTGGTGGTTATTTGTATGGCTGCATTCAGCTAGTGGGTTAGTTGGTGGCCAGGCTGTGTTGGGACACAGGGACGGCTAGGCCTCCCTGTCTTCTTGTCATCTCAGGTCCTCTCCGTGGACCTCTCACCCTGTCATCTCTTCATGGGGCAGCCAGACGTCCTGGTGCCTCACAGGAACCACAGAATTTGCAGGCCTTCCTGAGGCTTGGGCCTGGAGCTGCTTCCTCCACCTTCCATTGGTTAAAGCAAAGCACAGGCTCAGCCCAAATTCAGAGGAAGGGGCCCCTCAAGGTGTGTGGTGCATTGGAGCCATGACGCAGCGAACTGCTACAGTCCGGGACCTTCTCAGTAGCATCAGAACATTCAACAGTGTCTCCTGTTTCTAAAACCCTTGCTGTACCCTCCAGCTGTTGCCCCCAGTTTTCTACTCCTGTTCACAGCATGATTTCTTGAAGAAATAAGCTTTGGTTGCTGTGTCCACTTCCTATAACTCCATCTTCTTTCCTCGGCTCCCATTTGGCTCCTGTCCCTTCGTAGGGACCGTGTCAGTCATGGGCACTGATGACCTCCAGATTGCTAAGTCCAGTGTTTGTTTTCCGTCTATCCTCACTGGGTCACCACTTGCTCAGTGCACTTTTCTTCTTTCGGCTTCCTGGATATCTCTCCCGATTCTTCCTGCTACGTGCTCATTCCTCCTCAGCCTGATTTTTTGTTTCCTCCTCCTCCTTCGATTCCTCCTCCTCTACTTGACTTCTAAAATTTGGGGGGACCGAGGTTTCAGACCGGGGCCCCTTCTCTTCTGTGATATATGTTCCCTAGGTGGTCTTACGCAGTTGCCTTATTACGCAATTGTTAAAATACCGTCTATCTGTTAATTACTCCTGCTCTCTTTGGTCCTGACCTTTCCCAACTCCAGAGTCTTGCTTGACATATCCATGAGGATGTCTAACATACTTCAGATTTAACGTAACTAAAAAAACACTAGATTTTCTTTCTCAAACATCCTTCTTTCCCTGATCCTTCCCCATTTAAATAAATGATACCCCATCCACGGCGTTGCTCAAACAGAAATCTGTCACAAGTTATCCTTGGTTCCTTTCCTTTTCTCAACCTCTACATCCACCCATTGGCAAGTTCTGTGTGCTCTACCTCTGGAGTAGCACGCAAGTGTCTGCCTTTCTCACTGTCGCTGTAAGAGGTCTGCTTAGGCTACAGTTGTCACCTGGTGGGAGTACTGCAAGTGTCTTAGCAGCCCCTCTTCTGTCCCGTCATTCTCCTCCCAGCAGCCAGACTGATGTTTGAAACATGGAAATTAGGTTCTCTTACTGCCCTGCTTCCAAAGCCCCCGGTGGCTTCTTATCCCATATATCGCACAGTCTTCACTGGCTTGCACAGCTCCTTACGACCTGGCCCAACCTTCCCTCTCATCTTAGCGTGTGCTGGCCGTGGCTCCGTTACTGCACGCGGGCCACACTGGTGTCTGTTCCCTGAACGCCTGCCTCTTTCCCATCCGAAGACCGAGCGTATTTGCTCTTCCTCGAATGCTCTTTCCTCTGGTTTTCACGTGGCTAGTCCCTTCTTATCTCAGACCTCAGCTCAAGTCACTTCCTTGAAGAAGTCTTCTTTGAGCATCCAGCCACTATTACAATGCCTTATTTTAAATTCTTTATGCAGCTTTTATTACCATCTGATACTTCTCTTCTTTGTTGATCGACTGTAGACTGTGAGCTCTGTGTAAGTAGGGGTTAGTGCTCAATATGTTCACTAGGTACTTCTGGTGCTTACAAGAGTGCCTGGTACGTAGAAGATCTGCTGAGTAATTGAATGAATAAATACTCTTGGAACCAAATATACCTCTCTTCAGTTTCTTATAAATATGTGTAGTTAAAATACAAAACTTGATAAATTGAGAAAAAAATGAAAATCATTTATCCACAACTTTTAGTTAGCTAATGTTAACATTTTGATGGGTATTTTTCTGAAATCTTTATGCGTGTATGTGTGTTTATTTATACATTTTAACAATTAAATCTCTCACACACACACACACACACACACACACATTCACACTCACACGCACTCCTTTTTGTCCTGCTTCCTTTAGCTGTTACTTTGTGAGCATTTCCTTTGAAAATTATTTAAAAACAAGCTAAAACTGTTCTGTAATATGTTAGCACATAAACATACCATAATTTGTTTATCCATTGCCTTACTATTACTCATTTATAAGAATTTTTTGTAGTCTAAGTATTGCCGTTCACTGACCAAGCAGTTTTTTTTCTATAAATATATCTATGGAAGTAATTATTGTGTATGAGTATATATATTTACAAGCAGAATTGTCGTGAGACTCTATACTGACGAACATTTTAAACAATATAACAAAAGATTGGTTTAATGAACTATGATGAATAGACAACAAAATGTTATAAGGCCATTACAATTCTGTAATGTAAAAATAATACTGTAAGATGTTTATAACATATGAAAAAGTATTTTTTGCAAAGTAGGTTTTATCATCTCATTTATGGAAAATACGAAAAACTGGAAAGATATGTACAGCACAGTGTTAATCTCTAGTTGGTAAGGCAAGGAGGATTTTTATTTACTTATCTATGTTTAATTTCCACAGTAAACAGATGTAATAAAAAACTTACACAGGGTCCGGCCTGGTGGCGTAGTGGTTAAGTTCGCGTGCTCCGCTTCAGCGGCCTGGGGTTTGCGGGTTTGGATCCCGGGCGTGGACTGACGCACCACTTATCAAGCCATGTTGTGGCAGGAGTCCCACACATAAAATATAGGAAGATGGGCACAGATGTTAGCTCAGGGCCAATCTTCCTCAGCAAAAATGAGGAGGATTGGCAACAGACGTTAGCTTGGGGCTAATCTTTCTCACCAAAAAAAGAAAAGAAAGAACACTTAAAATTTTAAATACAATGGATTTCTTTATATACGTTTTTTGATTCTGTTCTGATTGTTTTCTTAATATAAATAACTCATTCTTTTTGTCTGCCATAGGTTGGTTAGGAATGTGTACTGTTTGGAAGGACTTAAATGTACTGTATTGAGTTGCTATATATGTGGTTTTTCCCTGTGTTGATTAAGGACAAGAAATAAACCAATTTCTGTACTGAATTCTTCATTAGGTATTGAGCTATAATGAGCAGATTTTTAAATCCTTTCTTAAAACTAACAAATAAAGACCCTAACTCTTCATATTGTACATATTCTCTCAGCTCTGTCCTGATTTGAGAGAGCTTTTTGGAATAAAGTCATTATTATTACTGTACTTTTTGAAGAAACCTTGTGTATATGTCACTTTTGCATGCCTGTCTTTTAAAACCAACTTCTAGCTCTCTAAAAAGGAAAGTGGCTATGTGTTTTATTATTCTTTTAACGACAGTGTGTTTTGGGGCATGCCACTGTGGATGACGTCCTCAGCATTGCTGTGCCTTTTTGTGGTCTGTGCTCATTGTCCCCTGCGTGGCAGCGTTGTATCAGATCTTCACCTGCAGCACTGAGTGTCAAGCTTGGTTGGGCTGCATGGTGTGTTTAAACGCCCTGTATTTTCCCCTTGGCCTAGAGTACCACAAGACTGGACAGTGACAGAGTACCGTCTGCCTCCAGCACAGCGGAGCGAGGGACAGTGAAGCCAATGATCAGAGAACAGCAGCAGGATTATCGCAGGCAAGAAAGCAGGTAGGAAATATTTTCATTTTTCATTATGAAAGAAGTAAAGTGTTTTTAGGGAGGGTTTTGGATAAAGATTGACTCTATAGGGCTTTAGGTGACATTTTTAGAAGGTTAGCAATATTTTTAAGAATATTTCGTTTTCATGTTATTGAATTGAAAAAAAATGCTTCATCAACAATTGTGTCCCTTACTGATGTGCCTGCCACAGTGTGACTCAGTTGAAATAGAAGGCTCGTTGAATTAAAATGTTTCTATTTTAAATGTGCTACTGGTGGAGAAAGGAGAGTTTTTATAGGATTTTAATATTTGATAATTTTTATATTTAGATAAAACTAGTTATTTCATCCATTTCTAGAAGAAATCCTTACATGTTTAAAAATGCACAGAGCCCAAAATGATTTTGAAGTAGAGTTTCTAAGAATTATGGAGTTTCCAGTTACGATGTCTTGTGCTCTGATGCGGTGTGTCTCCCTGTTGAGAGAGATGGTGGATGAATTGTTTTTTTCTTCTGGCATAGTTCTTGCCTAGCTTTTTTGAACAGAGAAATTATACCTTTTGTTATTTCCTTTTCTTATGATTTTTAGGTATATGTCACCTTAATAAAGGTGAACTCTAAATTGTGAACTCTAAAATTGTTTAAATGTGGAAAGTAATGTCAGTACCTCAAACACGGTAGTTAAATAATAGATGGTGAGTTCCAGATGCAGGTTAGTTTAAACTGCAGCATTGTTTGGTGCTGAGCACTTCTACTGTAGGGCTCTGAATGTACTCAGACAGAAATAGGGAAATATAGTGTGAGTATTTTATCATATTCTCATTATCAGCAGTGAAATTGGGAGCTGTCATCTTTTTCGTGCTATCCAGATTTTTGATGAGGCCATTCTGACTGTTCCCTTTCACAGATCCAGTAACTGAGGCATTAGCTGAGGTGGGTGACTTGCCCAAGGTCACTTATCAGTTCAGTGACAGGCTACTGATACAGTTCTTTCATTTTCCATCTCCCAGCAGGGGGCACTGTTTATCATAAGATTTTAATATCATTCATCACAGTAATTAAATTTATAGATTCATATGGGAATCTCAGGTTTTTACCTTGTTTTTATTGTGGGCTTTTGGTTAGTCAAGATTTTTGTTGACTATGTGAGTTTTTTTAGATGTAATAATAAATAGCCTACTTTCTGTAGACTGTTTCTGGTGGTGTATTCTAGAGTGAGATGTTCAGAATGGTCAATTAGTATTGTGAAGGAGTACCTCTGTTTCTCTATAAGGTGATTGAAGAGGTATGTATCATAGTTCTTAGTCCATAAATATTTGAATGAGTGAATGAATTAAGCGATTGGGGAGGGGAAGTTATTCGGATAGTGCTTTAGGATATGCAAAATTAATAAGTATAGTATGTTAATATAGTGTAAATAGCCATATGATGGTGAATTGTATGTCAGAAATTATTTTATTCTGTGAGCATATATTTTAATTAATTTTTTGCAACGTCAGATTATTTTACTTTGCAAAGACTTATTAAAGGTTTTATTTGAACTATAAAATATGTTATTTTGTTGATATTAAGACAGTGATGGAAACATGATTATTCCCATTTTTAGTCTTTGTGTTTTTCACATATACAATATTGGTATGAGCAATACTTAAATAATGTAACTCATACAGCCATGCGCTGCATAACGACGTTTCAGTCAACAATGGACCACATATATGACGGTAGTCCCATAAGTACCATATAGCCTAGGTGTGTAGTAGGCTATACCATCTAGGTTTATGTAACTACACTCTGTGATGTTTCCACAATGATGAAACAGCCTAATGAAGCATTTCTCAGAATGTATCCCTATTGTTAAGCGACACATGACTATATTTGTAAAAATCTAAGTTGCTTTAATAAGCATGTTTAAAACACTAATTTTAGTCAAGGAAAAATCCTTTTGAATGATGAGAGTGACTTTTAAATTATCATTGATATTTTAAAATTTTTTTCAGTGAGAATTTAAATTCCTTATTTTGACTAGGTTTGTTAAGTTGATGAAACATAAACAATTGGTAAAGTTTATCCAGGTTCGTTTTATGGATATTAAATTGAAAATAACTGCTTATCTGCAATTTTATTTTATTTTTATTTATTTATCTATTTTTTTGTGGGGAAGATCGGCCCTGAGCTAACATCTGCCAATCCTCCTCTTTTTGCTGAGGAAGACTGGCCGTGGGCTAACATCCATGCCCATCTTCCTCCGCTGTATATGGGATGCCGCCACAGCATGGCTTGACAAGCGGTGCATCGGTGCGCTCCCGGGATCCGAACCGGGGGACCCTGGGCCGCCGCAGCGGAGCGCGCGCACTTAACCCTTGCGCCACCAGCCCGGCCCCATGATTGTCATTTTAAATCAGAAACAAATTGGGCCCGGCCTAGTGGCGCAAGCAGTTAAGTGCGCGCGCTCCACTGTGGCAGCCCAGGGTCCCCGGTCCCTGCACCGCTTGTCAAGTCATGCTGTGGCGGCGTCCCATATACAGTGAAGGAAGATGGGCATGGATGTTAGCCCACGGCCAGTCTTCCTCAGCAAAAAGAGGAGAATTGGCAGACGTTAGCTCAGGGCCGATCTTCCTCACAAAAAAATAGATAAATAAGAAACAAATCCAAATATCCTGATAACTATGTTGACTTTCCATCTCACCGTATATGAAGATTTATTTGAATAAATATTGACCTCAGTTTGGTTTGAGCCAATATTTAACTCAATAGCTATTTCATTCCAGTGTAAAGTCATTATAATCCCCACTATTTAATTTTCAGTTATGTTTGCAGAAAGACAAAACAAATAAAGGCAAATTGCTTTGCTGTCAATGTTAATTTTCTTATCTTTTCAAGGATAGATTTTTGAAGAATTTTTCTTGATTATCTCTGTTAAAGTTGAACTAAAATGATAAAGATATTAAACTGTTAAGGAAACTAATCATTTGCCTATTTGTAATTTTGGGGTGCGGGGGGTAATATACAAATGTTATACATAAACTATAAGCTAGTAGCAAACTAACATAAGTAATAGTTAAATTGCTTGAAATTCTGATCACATGTCTAAGTGAAAGAGTGGTTAAACTGAATGTTGTCCATTGAGAAAAGTATAAATCTATTAAGAAGAGGAGATCCAAACTGGATTTGTAATTATTTATCTTACACATTTTAGAAAGTCTGTGCTTCCTAATGGCTTTCAGATGTTTTTGACTACAGTGCATGACACAAAGTTGTGTTTCACATTGTGCCTGGTGGACACATACCCACGTTTGTACATATTTATAACTGGGAGAAGACCTCCACCTGATAGCCTACCAGTGGGGGCAGAGTGACCCACTGTTTGGACAACTCTTTTATAGAAATAGAAATGTTCCTAACCTTTAGATTAATTTGATCCTGAATGCCTGGAAATATATTAACAGTAGTACAATGCTAGTTCTTAGAAATGTCCCAAATTATAGTTTCTCTTTGTTTATATGTTTTGGCAGTTTCTTATTTTTGTAGCCTCAGGTTAAATGATGAAAAATACCTGAAATTTATGTGACTTTAAGAAAAAATGTGAGTGAGTAGGTTGTCTTTTTTTAAGACAAGCATCACTCTGCGAGTTGAAAAATGCTAATACTGAATGGCTGAAGGGGCCCTTCAGGGATCGTCTTGTCTAACCTTTATCAGGAGAGAAAGACAATGTCTAGCTCTTACAAAGTTTTCATCTTTCATGTGTGAGAGCTCCGTGTCAAGCTCAGTGTGGTTTAGATTTTCTGTATGTCTCTTGGCAGTTACTTGAGCCATCACTGCAGCAGGTGCCTGACAGCCTGGTCTCTACTCCTGCACAAAGTCTTCGTTAATAATAGAGACTCGTGGTCAGATCTGTTCTCAGGACGGAAGCAGATACTTCAGGGAACTGACCTCTGTGAGGAGCTGGGACGTGATCACTCCCAATACGCTCATTGTAATATTCAAATGGATTACATAGGAAAATGAGGCATTGCATTGGGCTTTTGTTATTTGAAAAAACTATATAGAGATTTAAAAGATAGTTGCAGAAATCTGCACAGGTTGTCAGTGATGTTATTAGCTACCTGATTTTAAGAGATGGCAACTTTCTTCTTTTAGAACTCAGGATGTTCCTGGGCCTGAACTGATATTGCCTGCAAGCATTGAATTCAGGGAAAGTTGTGAGTAATTTCAGATTCCATTGTTAGTGAATTATTTCTTGTTCCATTTTTCTCCATCTGATTTTCATGGTTTTTTTGTTCTTTTTCTTCTTCTTTTGTTCTTTTTTGAAATCTTTTCACAGCTGAAGATTCCTTTTTATCTGCCATTATCAATTATACCAATAGCTCTACAGTCCATTTTAAATTGTCCCCTACGTATGTATTATATATGGCCTGTCGGTATGTATTGTCAAGCCAGTACAGACCTGATGTCAGTCCTACAGAACGTACGCATAAGGTGATTGCAATAGTCAACAAGATGGTGAGCATGATGGAAGGAGTGATCCAGGTAAGCTTCAGCCTGCAAAGCCGCACCGCTTCAGTAGTTGTGGTTATAATTTTTACATCAGTTAAGTCAGTTTCCTTAATGTGTCACATTTGGTTACATGTTTGACTTTATCTTAAGAATTTTTTCCTATAATAAAGGTATATAAATAGTATTGAAAATTGTATAGCTTTAAAAGTTGAGAAGAATTACAAACTTTTCTATTTCTTTCCTTTCAAACTTTAGAATAAGGAGAAGGTAAACTTTATGTGGTAACATAGTTATGAAAAAGACTCTTAAAATTGCAATAGTTGTTGTGAGAAAGTATTCAGAATTGTGGGGTTTCTTAGAACTTTTTAAAAAATAATTTGTTGAGATGAAGTTCACATAACATAAAATTAACTATTTTAAAGTGAATGATTCAGTAGCATTTGGTACATTCACAGTGTTGTGCAGCCACCACGTCTATCTGATTCCAGAACTTTTCCATCACCCCAAAGTAATATTCCTTGCCCAGTAAGCACCTTCTCCCCAGTACCCCTTCCACCAGTCCCTGGCAACTGCCTTCTTAGAATTTTCTAATGGTTATAGAAAGGCGTTTGCTTTTTATGATGAGCCTGCTGTGATGTTGGTAGCACGTGTCTGCGTTTGTTGTCATAGCACGTGTGCAGGTGTAGTGCACGTCGTGCTGTTTCTTCTTGCGATGAAACTCAGGTTCAGATTCTTTCATAGACCTGTTTAGAAATTCGGGAAGTAAGGGCATTCTCTTGGTAGAATGATTTATTTCCTTTAAGTACTTTCTATCTATAGTTGATAAAATTGGTGTACTAGTTTTCCGACCTTCAGATAATTTGAAGATTTAATCTTTCAAGTCCTTAAAGTTAAGTTTACAAATCTTTAAAAATTTTTCCTAAATCACTTATCAGTACTGTTATTCAAGCTATAACACTCTAGTTTTGTGATGTTAAGTAACATGATTAGATGGTTTGGTGGTTTTTTCTCCTGTCAGGATAGGTTGAGGCAAACTAATCTTTTAATTCCCTCAGAATTGTTTTAAAAGGCCAGAATTTTTCAAGAAATGTTTCTTTTATGTTTGAGTGGTTAGCATATGAATTTGGTGGGTTTTTTATTCTTTTACCCAAGTGAAGAAATAGATAAAAAGGAAAGCCATTTGTATACCATTTTGTCACTCTTATTATTTTATAAACAAACGTGGATTTCCTTTTCAGTGTTCATTCAGAGCCATTGTCTGTCTTCCATCATGTTTGGATTTCTAAAGCCTATTTCAAATTATGGAACTCCTATCATCAAACTACTTTTGAGAGACTTTTCCTTATTGAATTTAAACTAGTTAGTGAAATCACCATTATCAAAACAAGTCTTTTAAACTTCAGATTTAGGTTTAGTATGTGATTGGAGGAATCTTAAAGTTTTAGGAAAAAACTGCAGTAGTGAATAATTTAAATTCTTTAATTTGTAAAAACCTATTTTCAGAAAACAATTTACTCCTTTTTAGTATAGGTAAAAGTTTTTTATACATTTTTAAATTCTCAACTTTTATTTTTATTGTTTCTGTTGGTCTTTCCTGTCTCTTTCATTCTTATTAAATAATCCAGGGGAATAGCTCATCTTTATGTACTTTTAAGTAGTCAAACACACAATATCATTAAAAGACATTAAGAAGTCCTTCCTTTGTAAATCTTTTAAAGAGATCAGTATGTTCATGTGTTTATTGTAACATCTTTATAAACTCTCTAGGAATTCACTTAGTTATTGTGCCAGTGTTAAGAACATAAAACTAATCCTTTATGTCACTTCCAAAACTGCTTCAGAGCCATAAATGAATATGTACTTTGGGAATAACATAACTAAATGTTGTACCTTCATGTCGTACCTTCATATTAGTGTTTTGATTTTTTTAAACTATCATGATTGTTTACAAGTTTCTTTCTCTCGTTCTGCTTGATTTCCCCTCGTCTGTTTTTCTGCAGGAAGTAGACCAGGTTGATCAGGTAGGACATACTGCTGGGAACTGATCCTAGCTATGTTGGCTTAGCTGAGTTTCTCATGCTGCTTCCATGTCAAAATACGATACTACAACTGGACTGAACAGTTCATAACACTCATTCAGCAACTGAAACATGCAGTACTAAAATCCTTTTTTGACTGTGCAACCTTTATCAGCATTTCATAATTTCTGCTTAATGCACTTCAGTGTGGATATGAAATGACCAAAGTTCTGTTTCTTCTCTTTATTGTTTATCCTTGGTTCCTATTCTTTGGATCTCATCTGAGGTTGCCTGGCCTGCACATGTGGTCGGGAGATGATGCGATAGATCAGTACTTGATACCGAGTTGCTTGCTGTCCAAGCCGGTGACTACGAGTATCAGGGTGGCTGTGGGTAACCATGGATACATGTGTGTATACTTCACAGATTACCAGATAATGCACAGTCTCCAATTTGGCCTTGTACTATTTGATATCTCCATTTCTCCACTGACAACATAAATTGTAGCTAATTAGATCCATATGTCTATACCTGAATCCTAAGAAGAAGCTGCAGTGGTTGTTTGTTTTCCATTGCTGTGCATGCACCCAAATTCCTTTGCACATATCTGGTATCTGTGGTAAATACCTTGGTGAGAATGGGAAGGTACTGGTCTATCTTCAGCAGCTTTTCAAGAGCATTCCTTTTTATTTCTGTTACTTTGGTTTGTCCTGTGGTTGCTTATGGAAATGTGTTCTGTCTACAGAAACAGAAGAATATTGCAGGGGCTCTTGCTTTCTGGATGGCAAATGCGTCTGAACTTCTCAACTTCATCAAGCAGGACCGAGATCTCAGTCGAATCACACTGGATGCCCAAGACGTTTTAGCACACTTGGTTCAAATGGCGTTTAAGTAAGGAACACGTTTTTGGAGATGACACTATTCTATAAAGATTTAAATCATATGTTGTCTTTGTAAATTTTCAAAACTAATTTTAAAGGTTTTTATTTGCTCTAATTAAAGATGAATATCAAGAAGCATAAATAACCATATGCAAAATTTGTTGATTTAATAAATTGAGTTCAATGAGCTATCTTTCAAGAATCCTGAGAATAAAACTATTATATTTTTTAAGTGGAAAATATTTCTAAACAGTACAGATTGTTTTGCATGTGATATCATGTTTGACAATAGCAACGTGTCATGCCAAGATTAATGCAATTATTTACATATTTTCAGGTATCTGGTTCACTGTCTTCAATCAGAACTGAATAATTACATGCCAGCCTTTCTGGATGACCCTGAAGAGAACAGTCTGCAAAGACCAAAAATAGGTTAGGATATTCTTTTTCTTCTTCCTCCCTTCCTTCCTAACCTCCTTCTCTCCCTCCTATATAACTTCATTTTAATATTTAATATATGTAAGAGGGAGATATTTTAAAAATAAATGAGATGTCCTATTGGATTTGACATCCTTTAAAAGAACAAATTGTAACCACCATATGTTTTGTTGAAGCATAGTTCTCATTTTGGTGTGTCCTACTGGTCATACTTTTTCGAAAAGTCTCTTGGGGTGAACTTAAATGTTAAATAAGTATAGTTAGTTAATATCTCTGTGTAGTTTAAGACCGCATCACTGTTTCCTATTTGAATGAGATTGGTATTTTAAAAGTGATTAAATAGGTATTATCATTACCATATAGGTATTATTACCAATACCAATAGGTATTATTACTACCATTATCTAAATTTACTGCTAATTCAAAAGACTCTTCCTGAATGACATTTGGTACCCTGTCTCTTCGTCCTGTATTTCTGCATAGATGATGTTTTGCACACGCTCACGGGAGCGATGTCTTTGCTGCGGCGCTGCAGAGTCAATGCTGCCCTGACCATCCAGCTCTTCTCGCAGCTCTTCCATTTTATCAATATGTGGCTCTTCAACAGATTGGTAACTGACCCTGAGTCAGGACTGTGCTCTCACTACTGGGGGGCAATCATCCGCCAGCAGCTAGGACACGTTGAAGCGTGGGCAGAGAAGCAGGGATTAGAGCTGGCAGCCGATTGCCACCTCAGCAGGATAGTGCAGGTGGGTGGCACTGAATCTCACTTCCCCACAGTGCATGTACTTCATTGTAAATGTCTCTAATTCTGTCATGGTTAAGAACTTGGACTCAGCAAAACCTCCACATCCCCCCTTTGGGGTTTTTCATATGTACAGATAATGAAACAATGGTGTATTTGCCTGGGTCACTATAACAAAGTACAACAAACTTAGTGGCTTGTTTTAAACAGTAGAAATTTATTGTCTCTCAGTTCTGGAGGCCAGAAGTCCAAGATAAGGTGTGGGCAGGGTTGGCTCCCTCTGGGGGCTGTGAGGGAGCCTCTCTGTTAGCTGCTGGTAGTTGCTGGCATCTTTGGTGTTCCTGGGCTTGCAGTTGTGTCACCCCGATCTCTGCTTTTATCTTCACGGGACATTCTCCCTGTGTGCACGTCCGGGTCCACATGCCCACTTTTGGTAAGATCATCAGTCCTATTAGACCTACTGACCTCATTTTAACTTGATTACTTCTGTTAAGACCCTCTCTCCAAATAAGGCCACATTCTGAGGTACAGAGGGTTAGGACTTCAACATATGAATTTTGGGGGACACAATTCAGCCCATAGCAGGTGGTAACCAGTAGAGTATATGTCCTTAAAGGGTCCTCTTTTTTGAGATCAGTAAGGTATATTTCATAAAGCTTCATACTGAAAGATAAATTCCAATTTAAAAATGCTTTGATTGAGTAAGCTAGTTAAAAAAAAGGTCATTACAGTGAAATTTTATTCAGACCCCAGTAATTGGTAATCTGAATGGTTTCAGACCCCAGTAATTGGTAATCTGAGTGGTTATGTAAATGTCTGAAGTTTCTAAGAGAATTTTTTAAGTGCTTTATGAACATAAATAATGGAATTTGATTATATGTATATATTTTAGTAAAATTAAGAGGCTGTCTAAAAACCTTTACTAGACAATGCTTTTAGTTCAATTTAATGTATATAGTTAATGAAAGTGTGTTTCCTTAAAAACTTCCTGTATTTCAAAATGAAATTAGCAAGTTATTACAGTTTTACAAATGTTACATAAAGGGGAATGTTTATGAAATACTTTTGAATTATGATATTTCATGTCATTTATTCCTTTAAATAGGCAACCACTTTACTTACAATGGATAAGTATGCACCTGATGACATTCCAAATATAAACAGCACCTGCTTTAAGTTAAATTCACTACAGCTTCAAGCCTTACTACAGAATTATCACTGTGCACCCGACGAGCCTTTTATCCCCGCGGTAAGTGAGTGGCCCCACGCTACCACACAGTGTGGGACATGTTTGTGTAGGGAACTTGGGATGGAAAAAGAGGAAAACTTATTCAATAAGTTACCTTATTTCTTTAATAAATAAGCTAATTTACTTAATCATCTTACAAGATCATTTTTGCTGTTGATGTCTGAGTTAGCGTTCAGTACAAGAAGTAGAAAGTACACAAGCATTATAAGTAGAATGGGACTTAATTCAGGTAATTAGGTTCTTGGAAAAATCATTGGAAGGACGGAAGAAAGGAAGTTCAGAAGTTTCCCAGATCTCTCAGGTTCCTGGGCACACTGCTATGACCTGAGACCCAGAGGCCGGAAAGCCGCTGCCACAGTCACAGGAGCCCTCACATCGTGGGGGCTGAGTGCCGAGTCACATCCTCATGTTGCCTGTCAGCAGCAGCAGCAGCAAGAGGGCCTCCCTGCACAGCTGCCTCCCAGACTGTGTGGAGGCCTCTGACTGGTCAAGTCCAGATTCTCATCCACAACAGAGTCTGGGATGTGGGCGTTCCTACGTCTCATACTAGAAGGAACGGAGGGTGAGAAACCCAGTCCACAGTGTCTACTACAGTGTGTTATTTATAAAGTGAGAAGTGCTGGGGACACTACCATCACAAGTAAATAAAACAAGCTTGATACAGGTGTTTTGAAAATTAGAACTGAGAATTAGAGAATTAGAATTAGGTAGAGAGGTAAGTTAATCAGATGGATGGATTGACCTCCAGGATTAAGTTTCTGCCTACAAAAGAAATGTACAAAATAGCCAACAATTGGAAATCGCCACATGTCCACCCACAGTACAGTGTATAGATAAATTGTGTCATAGTCACGTAAGGAGTGCTGCACTGCAGGGAAAGCTGGATTATAGCGACACAACAACTTGGATGGGTGTGATGACAGCATTTACACAAAAGAAATCAGATGTAAGATATACACACTTTTTCTGTCTGTGTGACTTTCAAGAACAGACAGGAGGACTCTGGTGTTTGAAGCCTGGGTAGTGGTGACGTTAGGGAAGAAGGAGAAGGTCAGAAGGGGCGGCTTCTCGGGTGTGGTGTTCAGTTCCTTGAACTGGGTGGTAGTTGAGCTGGTGTGTTCACTTTATTGAGCTGTACAGTTAGGATTTGTGAACTTTCCTGTATGTATATTATATATTAGTAAAAAGTTATTAAACAGAAATCACCCATAAACCCATAATTCAGGAATAACCTCTGTATAGGCTGGGGATAGATATTTTTATCCTGATTTTTACGTTTAACGTTGTGTGCGATTTTTCCTGTCATTAAACATTTTACCAAAATAGGGTTATTAACCACTGGGTATTAAAGAATTGTGCAAGGAAAAAATGATTACTTTCGAAAAGGGAAAAAATCCGTTTTCTTGTGATTGAACAGTTTCTGTTTAAAGCTGCAAATTATTTGCAATTAACAACATCTTGGTTCATATAGTAAAAGTGTGTGCTCTGCTAGCATTTTGTTGCTTTACAAACCGATTTTGAATATATTGATAAATTTGTTCTTCTTCTGTAGCCCTGCATTATGTATGTAACCACACTACAAATGATTAAATGTTTTCTTGGATAATTATTGGTCAACTGCACCAGTCATTCAGCATCTCTTTTTAATTTTGTGTTTATATTTTAACCAGGATCTGATAGAAAACGTAGTGGCTATGGCTGAAAATACAGCTGATGAACTGGCACGCAGTGATGGGAGGGAAGTACAGCTGGAAGAGGACCCTGATCTGCAGCTGCCTTTTCTTTTGCCAGAAGACGGCTATTCTTGTGATGTTGTCAGAAACATTCCAAATGGTTTGCAAGAATTTTTAGACCCTTTGTGCCAGAGAGGTAAATAGTCACCCTACCTAAAGTCTGAACCGTGACCTGGGTTAAAGTGAGCATTTGACTAATTATGTATTCTTATATGGCAATCCATTCGGGTTGAGTGCACCTCGTGTGCTTCTGGAGAAGCCTGTGTTCCATTGACTTGGAAGTAAGCATTTCATGGTGACACAGGACCAGAAATGTCCAGACACAGAGTTCTTGTGGGTGTGCTGCAGCCCTCCTGTGAGCACGTGCTCTGTGCACTTTGTGTTGTGATTACCTTTCCACCTGGGCTGGTAGGAAGGCCCTATTATTGCTCCTCCCTGCTTGGTTTTGTGTGAGCCTAGTCACTGCAGTCATGGTCCAGAACTGCACTATAACTTTATGTCGGTACCACCAGGGAGAATAGTTAAGAACAGCCTGAGCTTTGGAACTGAAAGCCTAAGTTCTGATGCGTACTCTGTCTCCTGTGATTTCTCGTCTGTAAAACGGGTGTTGTGAGAATTGAGTGGGTTGCCTGTCGAGTACTTAGAACTGCGGCACAGAGTGAGTCTCTGTGACTGCTGCACCACCAGCGCCACACTGGCACCCGCGTGTGTGCTAGTAAACCCACTCCAGCAGGTTTTATGCAAGTGTAACTCATGGTCCCAGTTTTACTATACACCTTTTTTACATTTTCATGTTGATGTATGTTGTTGAAAATACCACGATTATACCTGAAGCATGAGCTGTTAAGTTAGACCAAATTTCAGTCCCAGTCTGCTACTTTTTTGTAATAATGGAGCTCAGGTGAGTAGAAAAATAGACCAAAATAGACCATTTTGTTAGTTTAAACAAAAATAATAATAGGAAAGGAAGGTTTTATGTCCATAGGTATATAAACTTAGTGAGTATGATTTTTAATTTCAATGAATATTTCACACACTGCAATAAATAGGCTTTTATATTTTCAAAGGTTTTGCTGGTTTCAAAAGTTCGTTTTACAAAGGCTCCTTCTTATAATGACATGTGTTTGTACAACTGCGAATGTGGCTGTCCTCCCGGGATAGCTGACTGTTCTCAGCTCTCAATGCTCCCCTCAGAGAAGCGGAGGCAGGGTGGGAGTGGTTCTTAAAGGAACCGTGGATGAGAGATAAAGGAGCAGGGCAGGAGTGGGCACAGAGAGCCTCAGCCCTGGTTCAGGGCTGACATCTGTGATGATGGGGAGGGAAGGGGACAGGGCTGCAGTGCTTTTCTAAGAAAGTTTCAGTCAGGCAGTGGGAGTCCCCCAGCCAGGAGACTCGGGGAGACACAGAAGAGCCCCACATCCCACTAGGGGCCTGAACTGGTCCCTGACCCCACAAGGGCCTCATGCCAGCCCCAGGACGGTGGTGGACCCAGGGGCAGCAGCTGCCACGAGGCTGCTTAAAGGTGTCCCTCCACATGCGCACCACATCTCACACATCTGAAACACGCTTTTACTTCTGAGAAACTTCTCTCCCGCAGGTGTTGATTGTAGGAACAGCCTTCTGACAGGCTTCTTTGCCCAGTTCTCCCATTCTTCCTTTCAGCCCTCCACACTGGCTTCAGGTCTTTTAAAACCAGCCTTTGTCTTGGGCTCTCCTGCTCTAAACTCTTCCCCTATCACCTGCAAGGTTAAAATAGACCAAACTGTTGAGCATGCCATTGTCTCTCTCCAGTCTTAGTTCCCCGCCTTGAATCTACACGCTACGCATGTTATTAACCTTGAACCGTGGGTTGTATATCCATGCTGTTACCTTCGTACCTATTCCTCCATTTGAACTTACACACTTTAAGTTATTTTCTTAAATTCCACTCAGACATCCTGTCATCAGAAAACCTCAGCCTCTTTCCAACACTTAGCCACCTTCCCCATGAGTGAGTCCTGGGTTCTTCTGTGATACTTTGTGACAGCGTTTGGAGTGTGTTTCCACACCTGCCCTCCTTCTCAGTGAGTCCTGAAGGACGGGCTCAGCGTGCTTCTCCTTCTCTGGCTCCTCGGCACTGACCGGGCCTGCTGCGTGCTTGCCCGCTGCTTTTCTTCATTCATACCTTGTGAATAAACGTGTGGGGAGACACATTTACTAGCATTTTCCAAATATGTACAGTTTGTGGTGTGTACACAGCTGTCAGTCTTGTAATATGTGCTGTAGAGTAGATACTGGCCCAGTTGGGAATAGTGAGGTCTTGACTTGATGGTGAAGCTTTCTTTGTGACCCCTCTTAGGCTCCCTTGAATAATTCATTTTAGGTCATAGGTGGTATTTCATCATGGTCTTGACATCACCATGTTATTTCTTGTGTGTTAGATGATAATGTAGCCTAGTACAGCGGTGCCTTTAAAAGACTTACAAAGAGTTGGATGTTTTCTTTTATGAGATCAGTGTTTTTAATTCTTCACATTCAATTCTCTGTAAGCCAAATAAAGAACTACTAGGTGCTCTCAATTTATCTTCCTTTTGTTTTTCTCATATAATACATTTCTCTGAGAGAAGGCTATAAAACCGGCATGGACTCATACCTGATCTGAGATGCATTCCGTAAGCGAAGAAAGCAAACTGTCTGCTTGCAGTACGGTCTAGTCTTGTTATAGAAACTTGACTATTTGAAAAAATAAGAAAATAAATGACAACTTTTGAAATTTCAAAACCACGATAATTATGATTCCCTAAAACGGGAAAGAGAAATAAATTGTAGGTTATATTTTAATGAAACTAATTGAGACAGTGATTTTTTTTTAAAGAACTAAAACTAATAAAATTAATTTATATCCTTATTTTAACTAAACATATATATGTGACATCTCCTTTTCCCTCTACCACAAACAACTTTGTAAGTGTCCAAAAATAATAGCCAAAATTATCCTTACTGGTGGAATACTAGAGTAGATGAGAATACCAGCTGATGCTATCTAAGACCCCCTAACCGGTACCCAGGTCATCAGGATTCACTGAGACTGAATGCTAACGTGTCATACAGTGTATGACACACGGGTGTGCTCTTCATAGTTGTTTGGTGCTGATAATAGTAGGACCACTTTGGAGAAAACTTGACAAGAATTGTGCAAGGCCTGTGTGATATGACTTTGTCAAAAAATTTCTGAGAAGCTCAAAGTAAGATCTGACTAAATGAAGAATGACATATTTTGAATCGAAAGGCTTAGTTTTGTAAAGATGTCATTTGTCCCTGATGAAAATATCAAAGATGCTCTTTAAAACATTGTAAAATGATTCTAAAATTTATTTCTGAGAACTTTCAGTAAGTATGACTTGTCAGAAAATTTGGACAAAGAGTAATGAGAAGGGGCCCATCCTACCCCAGAATTGCTAGACAAGTCAAATCATGTCATAGAACTCTCTGTCTGATAGTGAGGCAGACATCCATGTTACTGTCATTCTCTGGTCCCTCTTTCCCGTCTCTGTTAAAGAGATATTCTGAATATTATTGAGGAACTCTTAGTCGAGTGGAGTAGACAGATCTGCAAAGAAGTAATTAGAATGCAATTCAGTAATTTCTCATAGAAGTAAGAAAAAAAGTACTTCGGAATAAAGAAGAGGGGGAGACCATTTCACTTTTCTGCTTGGTGTTGAAATTCCATTGGACCAAAATAAATACATGATTTTAAATGTCTGAAAATTCAATTTTCAGAGGGAGTAAAGGTGTAGAGTAAGAAAAATAAATATTGTCATTAGATATTAAACAATTGATACTGTATGTTGCTTCCTTTGTTGAAGATTGTGTGTCTGACATAGTGTGCTTTTCAGTCTTATAATTTGCCTGTTTTCTCCTCAGGATTTTGCAGGTTAATTCCTCATGCACGTTCACCAGGTACTTGGACAATATATTTTGAAGGTGCAGATTATGAAAGTCACCTTATGCGTGAGAACACAGAACTGGCAAGTATTATGAGGATGATAGATGGGCTAGTAAAAGAAATGTATTCCTTATGATTTGAAAATTTGATGCAAATTCGTTCCTTGCTTACAGTGAACATTGTTGTGTTAAAAAAATTTTAAATCACCTTTAAATACCAGTTTTATTAAAAAATCTTAGACCCATGAATTTTGTGTATATATTTTTATTTTCAGGCCATGTCTATACAGTTTTGTCTATAAACAAATGGTACTTTTTAAAGTAAAGAATATTTATACTCACTTATACCAGCCTTAATGGTAATACATATTTTAAAAATATGTTAATATGGTAGCCTTAACAGATTTCATTAGAAAATGTGTTTCTTTGGTAAAAATATCTTCTTTCTATAGTTGGTTCTACTTTGTCTTAAAATGTATCAAATCAATTTACTAATATTTTATGTCTTTTGAAAGAGTGATCAATCCCAATATTTACTAGCTTCATACATTTTTAAGGGAAATTCTGCTTTGCTTCATACAGAAATTTAAACAAGAAAGGATGCTTTTCCATGCCTTAGAAAGTGACACCAGATCAAAGTTGTCTCGTACTACATATACTAGCATATCTTTGTTTAACAGATGAGTCCAGGAAGTATATAAACAAATGAATCTTTTCCTTTTTGAACTTTTTTGTTCAGTTTCATTTACCTTAAATATTTTTCTGTAATTACCATTTTCATCTCTTAAGCCACTTAAGGGTTCAAAGGAGCGAGCAGATGTGACCACAGGTTTGTCACGGTTACTGTGGAGAAGGGTTGTTGTAATAAGTGTGATTGGATGTGGCCGTTAGTCACCTGTCCGCCTGTCCCCAGAAGGCATGGAAAGAGACCAGTGTGCCTGGGCCAAGATTTAGAGATTCTGGTCTATGAAAAACAACCAAAAGTCTTCTGAAGCTTCAGAGACTTTCTTGTGCTGTCCTAAATTATTAATTAGTAGTCAGTCAAAACAGTGTGCCTATTACATGCCTAATTTCTAAGAAAACATAGGTTATGTAAGGTGGCAGTACTTAACGTAAGATGAAGAATGGGAGGTATGTTTTGTATATTAAATTCAAAGTAATTTATTTTGGCTTAGTAGCACAGTTTAGATTTGAACATGTGTCAGATCCCTCTCCAAAAATTTAGTTGGTGATTGTGCTATTACAAATAGATGATCACTTCTGATACAGTGAATGTGCCTCTAATGCTTTTTATTGACCTCACTAGTTGTTGTTTGTCAAATCCCAAGTAATAGCAGCAATTTCTAATTCCCAGATGTATAAAAACAAGTACCTTCTTGGATAGAATCACTGAGTCTTTATCTTTCTAATTTATTCACAGATCCCTCAGGAGATTTCAGGTCTTGATTAAAAAAAAAAAATTCTATTGTCACCTAATCTAATTTATTTCCCTTAAAATATTCTCTCACAGATTTTGGTTCTAAATTAATAAGCCCTGTGTATAATGGTCACTTCTTGGCAGTGTGCCCTCATACATGTGTATTAATTAAATTCTCCTTTAGTGCTTATGCATTGGGCATTTTCTTCTTTAATTTTGTTGACTCTTTCGTATGAAGTATGACATGTATATAACATGTAACTTCAGTGGATAAGATCACTTTCTCATTCCTTTATGGATCTGTTCAAGAACTGACCTGCCTTATGGGGCCATAACTCAGTCACTCCAGGTTTGTTACCCAGCCAAGTGGGCTTTACATGACAAGGGAGTACTTGGAATACGGCTGCCTGAATTTGTGGCTGCTTTATTTTTACTATTTAAGATAAAATGACTTGCATTTTCCCAGGAGACAAAGATGTTAGATCATCTTTGTTATAACTGTTTTTTGCTATCTTCCCCATAGATAGTGTAAAATAAGTTAAATTTTTTTCTTTAAAAAACACCTAGTAATTTATTCTGAAAGATAATAAAGTAAAAATTTAATTTTGTCTTATGATCAGGTTTTTCTAAACCTGATGGTAATGGAAGTTTAGTTTTGTTTTATAAATGAAGTTCTTTAAATACCATTTATGACTAGATTCATCTTAAGACTCTCGAGTCAACAGTATTAATAATTACTTTACCAGATGAATACCTGAAGAGTATCTATAGTAAATGACTTTTTTTGCTATTTCCTTTCCCACTCTCCTGTTTTTTTCTCCCCATTTACCATAGTGGATATGATTGACTAGATAGATCATGAGTTGTCTAATCATACAGAAGCACTTAAATTTCGGCCATAAAATAAACCTCCATTCAGCCATAACATAAACCTTCGTTTTCATCTTTTAGGCTCAACCTCTGAGGAAAGAACCTGAAATAATCACTGTGACCCTAAAAAAGCAGAATGGAATGGGCCTTAGCATTGTTGCAGCAAAGGTAAGACAGAATTAGTAATGAGAGAGTTTCCACACCTCCTCCTTAACCCTCCAGTCACTAGTCGGGCAGAGGTGAGGCGTGTGGGAGTTCTTCACCGCCAGTGGATGAAGTGCGTGTTCAGGTTTGTTTCTGCGAGGGGGAGAGGAATGGTGTTACATGAATGAAACCACTGTGCTCAGGCTCAATTAGCTGAGGGGTGATCTGCTCTGAAAATGGAGCGAGAATGAGTGATCCCTGGAGATGGAGCAGATGGTGCTCATCAGGAAACAATGTGAAGGCGTGGTCCAAACTGGAGTAGCTCCAATGGGCAGGAAAACCTTGGCACAGGAGAAAATGGCTTAGCTTAGTTTGAAACGGGAAACGGATCTATCGCCTCATCACAGCGGGCATTAGACACCTTTCTCAAGCATTAGTGCACGTAAGAATCACTGGGTGCCCTGTTACCCGGGCAGATTTCTTCAGTCTCCAGGTGCTCCCTCCCAGTGGGTATGCAGGGGACCTTAGGAAACTGCACTCTTCACCTGCGCTGTAGGTAGTTCCAGTAGGTCTTGACTGCTGGACCACTGTTAGTGGAGGGCATTGTGAAGGAAGTTACAGTTTCAGCTAGCCTTGAATACAAAAGAATAAGAGAGGCGTGTTGTGGGTGGGAGTGACATCGAGCAAGGATAGAACAAACAAGTATTGTGTACACCATACGTGGATAGCTGGAGACCTGCACTGCTAGGGAGAGTTGAGTAAAGAAAGTGAGGTTTAATTAATTGTAAAAACCCTTGGTTGGCAGGTGGAGGAGTCTGCGCTTGTATCTTGTAGGCACCACAGAGAAATGAGAGGGTTTGCAACAGAGAGGGACATGATGCAACTGGCATTTTAGGAGCCATGTCAGGGGTGGTGTGGTGTGTAGACTGGATTAGAAGAACCTGGGACTAAGGTGGGATTCGGGTTAGGAGTCAGCTGGAAGAGCCGAGCCTTATAGGATATGGATGGAAGGGGTTGTCCAGGGCACGGTAGTCTGGCTCTGATGCACTGAGTCACATGGGGTCCCCCAGGATGGGCCAGAGGGTAGTCCAGAGCCTCTGAGGCGAGCTCACAGTCCAGAATTCCTGCTGACTCCTTCTGATAAGGAGTGCTCATGCTCATGGGCCATATTTTCAGACTGTTGTAATATAATGGACCTACAACTCAAAACATTTGGAGATGTGAAAGGGAAGGTATCAGCCATAGACTCTTTTCCTCTTTGCTTATCAACTGAATCAAATGCTCACTTTTGGGAAAAAAATTATTAGGATAAAAAATTACCCCACCTCGGATATACAGGAAAAATTTAGCCTCTATATTTTCTGCTATGTATAAATGTAAAATCTTATTTCAAATACCTATCTTACTTGAGATTTGGAAGTCTCATCTGTGGGGTGGTAGGGGCTACCATTTATCAGCGTCTCCATCTTTTCCAGCTTAAAAACAATAATCTCTTTCAATACAAAACTGCCAGTTTTCTGTAGATTCAAGTCTGCTTTAGGCAAATGTCTGATCCTCTGTCTCTGGCACTGTGTCCTGATGTGTAAAGGACAGTGAGGCCCCGCTCGGGCACTTCCTTGCCCTCCCCTCTGCCTGGCCTCTGGCCTTGTGGGGCTGCCAGTGTCTGTGGGCAGTTAGGACAAGGAGCCAGACTGAAGGTCCCAGTCACACCCTTATTTACTTACCTGCCACTACAGTCAAGAGACGCAAGGAAAGGGCGTGACCCCAGGGCTCCGCTTTCCCCAGGGCATGCACCCAGGTGCAGGTCAGGTAATGAGCAGAGCAGCAGTGAGAACTCTCTCACTGGTGTGAGGATCCCTGCACAGAAGGTTTCCTCCACCTTTCCGTAGACGGGGCAGGGGGCAGAGTGAAAAAAGACTGAGTCAGAGTGCGGGACAGTGCCTCAGCCCAGGCCCCATGAGGAGACCTCGGAATGGGGGGTGGGGGGGGGCGCCTGGGCCCGGAATGCAGATCTGGGTATAAGCATGGCTGATTGTGGCAGCCTGGGCTGTCCTTCACTGCAGCCCCCTCCAGAGACCACAGTGTGGCAGCCGGGCCCCAGGTCACGTGTGGGGGGGGAGTCTCCCCCTGAGGCCTGCCAGGCAGAGTCTTGGAATTGCCTGTGGTCCGTGGTCAGGCAGGGGGGGTGGGGGGGGCGGAGCGGGGAGCTGGACTCCTCAGACCTCACCAAACCAGTGCTGATTGAGCTGCTTCCAGCCGGCCTTTACCCACCTCCATGGCTGCTGGCCACACAGCTGTCCTTGGCTTCTTGTTTGTAGTCCCCTGCACTTGATCACCTCTGCCTCCCCCAGCTTCTGCTGATTGCTTCTCTTCTGTGGGGCTTGAAGCTCCCTCTGAGCTACTGTGGGGTCTCTTTGCATTTGAATTCAGACAAGGAAGCATCAGAAGAAAAGTGTGCTCTCTGTGTAGTCAGGAGAAAGTAGTCTTGTCATAAAAATGTAAATGATTCTGGAATCCTTGCTATTACAAAAGAGTTTGTAATTTGTGATAAGAAATCAGGGTAGTACAATTACTGTCCATTAGCCTCACAATTTAGGAGCACACGGGTTAGCTTCAGGGTATATGGTAGCGTTAAGACTAGGTCTTTCAGGGGCTGGCCGGGTGGCGCAAGCGGTTAAGTGCACGCGCTCCGCTGCAGCGGCCCGGGGTTCGCTGGTTCGGATCCTAGTCGCGCACCGCTGCACCGCTTGTCAAGCCATGCTGTGGCGGCGTCCTATGTACAGTGGAGGAAGATGGGCACTGATGTTAGCCCAGGGCCAGTCTTCCTCAGCAAAAAGAGGAGGATTGGCAGGTGTTAGCCCAGGGCTGATCTTCCTCACACACACACAAAAAAGACTAGGTCTTTTGTTACTTTTACTCATATTAGAGTGAACTTGATGTGAAAGTAGTAGCTGGTTGTTAAAATAGTGTTTGTTCCAGTGGAGAATGTCGAGTCCCTGTTATGTGAAAGTAGAGTATAACTTTCACTTTTTAGTCTTTAAATCTCTAGGCCTTTCTTTCTTTTTTTTTCTTTTGTTGAGTAAGATTGGCCCTGAGCTAACATCTGTTGCCAATCTTCCTCTTTTTCTTTTTTTTTCCCCTCCCCAAAGCCCCAGTACATAGCTGTAGGTCCTTCTAGTTCTTCTGTGTGGGATGCTGCGTCAGCGTGGCTTGATGAGCAGTGGGCAGGTCTGCACCCAGGATCCGAACTGGCGAACCCTGGACTGCTGAAGCGGAGCGTGCAAACTTAACTGCTATGCCACCAGGCTGGCCCCTATTTATTTCTTGTTTCCTATACTAAGACATTTAAAAAGGAGATTTGTAGAAAAAACTGGAAAATAACAGTGTTAATGGTATTTGTAATTGGGATATAGAATTATAGAATTGGGGCTTAATGGGGAATAATAACAACACAGGAAGTTAGACAGATGTAAATCAAAATGTGAACTTTTTTACCAACTGAAACTAGATTGGGGAGCGTTGCTGATGTGTACATCTACACCAGACCTGCTAATACATGATTTCTGAATTAAACATGCTCTCCTTCCCTCCCCCTTCCCATGTCACTCACACAGCAGCAGCCTGCCACAGGTCCCCCTCAGAACAGGGCACTCCAAAAAGCAGAGAACCCATAAGAGGTGAGCACCTGCTCAGTTTGTTACCCCTGTCTCACCACTCACATGCAGCAGGCCCCCAGGAAGGAGGTGGAGCTTGGCTACAGAGAACTGCTCCCTCCTTTCCTGGGGGTACGCGCCTCCCTTTTCAAATCTGGGAGGGGTGGCATCCTCTCCCACTTGTTGGGGGTTGTCACTCTGTTCTTGTTTCTGGTGTTTTCAAATATTTTCCACAGTGAATAGTATGGAGAAAAAGTAATAGTAAAAGAGGTTTTTGGAAAGAGATTCCAGATTCAGTCCTTGTTTAAGGTGGTTTATTCATCAGCTTATAAAATAGATGTGATGAGATTTAGTATGCACTTGTCTCTCATGAACTTTTCTTCTCCCACCAAGGATATCTGTAATCCCAGGCAGCTACTTTATCCGTATATGCCCTTGATCCTTTGAGGGACAAGGCAAAAAAATATGAATGAGTGAATGATGTCAGAGGTCATTGTTTATTCAAGGATGTTCACTGAATGTCTAAACTTCAGTACAGAGTGCAGATCAGTGAGTGCCTCCCTGAGAAAATGCCTTTTAAGCTGAAACTTGGAGGGTGAGGAAATGTTACTGGGGAAAAGATGGTGGGCAGAGAATTTCAAAAGAGGGAACGTGTGCAAAGGCTGTAGCCGTGTGGCGGGAGCACAGTACCTGAGGGGAAGCCCTTCGAGGTGTATTTGGGAGGGAGGAGAGGCACAAGGATGGGAAGCTTCTGCAAGTGGCTGGATTGCAAATATTTTCTGCTTTGCAGGCCGTATGGTCTGTGCTGCAGCTGTGTAGTTGTGCAGTCAGAGCGTGAAAGCAGCCGTAGGGAGTGTGCTGTGTCCCAGTAGAACTTACTTACAGAAACCTCTGAGGGCTTGATGGAGTTGTGGATTTTCTTATAGGTGAAATAAGTAGCCATTGAAGGGGTTCAGATAAAGGCGTAGTATGATCAGAGTACAATTTTGAAAGTTTATTTTTACCGCTTTATGGAGCATGGGTTAGAGGGTCTCAGAAGTACAACCAAAGGGACCAGGAAGCAAGCTATTACTTGTTTTCCAAATGGGAGGTAATAGAGGCTTAGCATAGGGAAGTGGCAGTGGAGATGGAGGGAAGTCAGCCAGCTGGAGGCTTGTTTTGTTGTAGAGTAATATGACACTTTGAGGTCAGACACCTTGTCTTGTTCACTGCTGCAGGGTTAGCAGTTTCTGGTACATGGCAGGTGCTAATGCGTGGTTGTTGAATGACAACTTTGAGATTGGTTGATGAATTGGATATAGTGGGTGAAAGAAATATCAAAATGCATCCTGATTCTGTCTTCAGCAACTGGGCATGTGTAAGTGATTTTTA